TTTTTTTTTTTTTTTTTTTGTCTATTTCATTTGTTATATTTTACTTTTTTTTTTATATTTATTTTCATTTTTATTCAAATAATTTTTAAAACTGAAAAAAAAGTTAAAGCATCTATTAAAATCTATAAAAATCCTATTAAAAAGCATTAATAAATATGGAAATAATAACAATTTTAATTATAAAAAATAATAAAAAAATAAGAAAAACAAAATTATTTAATAAAGAAAAGAAGTTATAAAAGATTATGTATGAATGAAAAATTATAGAATAAAAATATAACAAAATATAATTAAAATAAAATTAAGAAATAATAGCAATAAATAAAAAAATATCTTCATAAATTTTTTTCGGATAAAAAAAAATTAAATTGATAAAACAAACTTATTTAAAAATAAATATAAAATAACCTTTTTATAATATTTTCATTTCAAATCTTTTTATTTTAAAATTACATAATTTTTTTTTTTTTTTTTTTTTACTATAATTATTTTTGATAATGTATAATCTTTTACTTAATATTATTCACACTACTCATAACTTTCATTTGTTGTTTTCTATTTATAATAAAGTGTTTTAAAATATATATATATATATATATATATATATATATATATATATATATATATATATTTATATTTATCATAATTAATAATATTAATAATATATTTATTATATAAACGTACATATCTATTTTATATAAATAACAAATTTTAATTTTAGTGTATAATTTATATATTATAATTTATTTTGCAGATTTTTTAGCTAATATTTGTGCTCTAAGTTTTTTCATTCTAAGTATAACTTCATCAGTAGTTCTAGTTTTTATTTCAGAAGATACTAATTCTAATCTTTCTTTTAATGGAATAGAAGAAGGATATTTCATTAATGCTTTTTCTAATAAATTCTGTTCCTCTTGTGTCCATGGTTTTTTTTGGTTAATATAACCATTTGTATTATTTAAATTGCTTGTTTCCTTTTCAATTTTTAATTCCCTTTTATCTAAATTATCATCAATTTTTTTCATAACTCCTTTATTTTGATTTTTAAAATGATCAAATGGAGATTCATCAAAATTTTTACTCAGATTTTTAAGTGTTTCATTTTCAAACATTTCTTTTGTCTTTTTTATAACTTCTTTAATACTTTTTGTTTTTATATAACTTGAAATAAGAACCCATCTATTTTTTGTACCACCTGGATAAAATTTCAAGGCCTTTGCAAGTAACGATACTTCGTGAGCTGTCCATTTGTCATTTTTTTCTACATCTTCTTCATTTTTCTCTGTATTTTCGTTAGTTTTTTTTTTTTCTTCAATATTATTTTTTTCTTCTTTTTCATCATATTTTTCCATATCATTATGATCCCTATGTTCCTCTATACAATTGTCATCTTTCATATTGTTACTTAAATTTAGGTCTTCTCTATTAATTTCTTCTTTCTTTTCAATAATAAAAACAGATTCATTAACATATTTTTTAAAAATTTGAATTAAAGATTCAATATCATTTTCTCCTAATTCTATACTTTTTAAATGACCTATAAATCCTGTACTTTTGTTATCATTATTACCATCGTTACTATTATTCATATTATTATTATTATTATTGTTATTATTATTGTTATTATTTATATTAGCATTATTATTTCCCATATTTTTTTTGTTTTTATAATTTTTGTTATTATTTTTCTTTGAATTATTAGTTTTTGAGATACTATTTTCACATATATTTTTTTTCTTCATAGAATCATTTTCAAATTCTACATTTTTAGTTATTTCTTCATCATTAGTTAAATTATAATCTTTTATTTCTTCATTTTTTTTTTTTAAATGATTTAAATTTTTATTATCATTCTTTTTTTCATTTTGTTTATCATTATCTATAATTCCATTTACATTGCAATTTGAATTATTTTCTTTTAAATTATTAAGAGTACTTTTCAAATTATCTTGAGAATTATTAAATTTATTCGAACTCATCTTTTCGGTTGGTAAAATATCACTTTTGTAAAAATTAAAATTTAGTAAAACATATATATCATAAATAAAATCACATATTGTTTCAAAAGGCATTAATAATAATTCTTCTTGCAATCTATCGTAATTTACTGTATTTGATAATTTTGTTAGACATACAGACTTAATATGATGTTTCCATATCTTAACAGCAGCTTTTTCTTTGTTTTTCTTTTCATTAGAGTTGTTAGTAGTATTATTATCTTTTTTTGTATCATCCAATGTATCCATTTTCTTTTGCTTTTCTAATATAGCTAATTCTTTTTTTTTTTGTTTTTCTGTTTTAATTCTTTTATTTTCTGCAATAATTCTAGGATCATTGTTGTAAGCTAAATCAACTAATTTCAAAATTCTTAAATTTTCTAATTTTGATACTTTTTTCTGAATTTTTTTATTTTCTCTTTCCATCCATCTCCTTTCTTCTCTACATTCAGCTTGTTCATAATCATATGCATTATGATAAGAGAAATCTCTCCAATTAACAAAATTATACCAAAAATCATAAAAATATTTTACATTTTTTATATTAGTATTTTCATCACCTATATCTGGAACTGGTTTTTTAGCTGACCATTTAGCATTTCTTTTAAATACTGGTCGTAGAAAATCGTAAAAATTAGAAGCTTCTTCTAATTCTTTTAATGTTGGTATATATTCATCAAAAGGAACAGAACTATCATATTGTTTTCTCAAAGTTTTATCAGACAAAATAGTGTAAGAATCTTGAATTTTTAAAAACATTAATTTTTTTTCTTCAGGAGTTAATTTATCTATATTAAATTTTTCCATATAATACATGAGGTCCTTTGTGTCATTATTTTTCTCATCTAAATCTTTATTTTTTTCTTTTTCTTTCTTTTTTTTTTTTTCTTTTGCATTTAGATATGCTGTCCCTTTATTTTTATCTGGGTGAAATATTAAAATTAATTTTTTATATGAAGCTTTAATCGCTTCTATATCATCTGTTTCATCAACGCCTAATATTTCATAAACGTTTATATTTTCATCTATACATTTTTTAACTAAATTAGAACTTTTTTTATAACTTGCCTTTTCTTGTTTCTTATTATAATCTTTAGTATCATCATAATCATCATCATTTTTTTTCTTTTTTTTTTCTTCCTGTTCAATCTTTGCATTCTCATTTTTATTATTATTATCTTCTTCAATATCCTTTAAGTAATTCAGTTTATCTTTATATAAAAATAATTCATCAATAATTACATTTTTATTATCTTTTATTTTTTTTTTTTTTTCTTTTAATATAGGAATTTCATATTTTATGTAAAACATAAATCCTGCTGATTCAATTTTTTTCTTTTTTATATTTACACAATATTTTGTAGAAATATATGGTAAACTACTAATTTCTTTTTCATATTCATCACAACTTTTTACATTAATATCAGTTATACAAAACAACTCTTCATTTCTTCTGTGTTCATTATTTAATTTATCATTCATTTTTTTCAATAGAAAAGTAAGATAAAATTAATTTGTAAAAAAAATAAAACTAATGTCTTATAAATTTTTAGGATATATTTATATGAATCATTCAAGTATTATACATTTATAGTGATTTTCTTTTTCTTTTTCTTTTTCTTATAACAATAAACTTTCAGATATTTAAAGGTAAAAATATATTATTAAGATTTACTAAATTCATAGATATATTATATTTAATATATTCAAATGTTGTATATTAATGTATATAAATATTTAGGTATACATTTCATTTACACCCAAAAATTAAAAATACGTGAAGTAAATAATAATATGAATAAAATAAAATTGATTAGACTGAATTATAATATATACAAAAATAAAAATTAAAAAAATATGAAATGAAATAAAATGGAATACATTAAAAATATACTTATAAAATTTATAGTATGTATGCAATTATTACAAAAAAAAAAGAAAAAAAAAAAAAAAAAAATGTATTTTATATTCTCAAGTAAAATAAATTAAAAATAATATAATAAAAATTATATATATATATATAATATATGCATATAAACTCTATTACTATATATAAAAATAGTATTAAATTTATGATTTCAAAAGTTTAAAATTAAAATTTTATAAATATTGATTTTATTATGATAATAAAATAATTTATATTTAAGAAAAATAAAACATTTTTAGAAATTATTTGTTTGTATAAAAATTAAATTTTTAATGATTGAAAATATGTTAAGAAAAAAACAAAATTAATAAATATACTAATAATAAACTTTTATTTTATTTTTTGTATATTATAAAACTCAAAGTATATAATTTAAAATTTTTTTTATTTTTTTTTTTATTTATTTTTTTTTTTTTTTATTTATAATTATTTTTATTATTTCCCATAATCTTATTTAAATATTTTTGCATTATATTATTTTTAATGGCTTTTCTTATAAAATTTTTTCATTTTTTTTTTTTTTTTTTTGTTTGGTTTTAAAAGGTATTTTATTAAATAGTTATATTTAGATTCGAATTTATATTAAATTAATACTTTATAAACAAATAAATTTTATTTAAAAAATTATATACATTATTACAAAAATAAAAATTCATATGTACATTAATAGTGTAGAGAATGTAAAAACAAATAAATGTATGAAAATGTTTGAAAATGTAATAAAGAAAAATTTTAAATGTTGCATTAACAAAAATATTATATGATCAAAATGGATTTAGTTACATATTTTATGGTTCTTTTATTTTTAAATTTTATATATTTCATATGAAATTTTTTTTTTCATTTTTTTAATATATATTAATATAATTTTAGTTACAATTTAACTTTTTTTTAACTGAATATTAAATATTCATTACTACTTTTTTTTTTTTTTACAATGTATTTCAATTTTATTTTTTTTTCACTTTAATAGCATTTTTTACATTTTTTTCAATTTTTCTTTTGAAAATAAAGAAAATATAGAATGCTAAAAGAAATATTAAACTTATTATTCTTACAAATTAAAGAATTTATTTGGAATTCTTGAAGTATGTTGTTTTATTTTTTTTTTAGCAATTCTTTAAAATATTTTAAACTTTCAAATAAAAAATTGTTAAACCACGTAATACTTAAAATTAAGAAAAGCAAATAAAAGAAAAAAGAAAAACTTTCAATATAATAGAATAATTTAAAAAAAAAAAAAAGAAACTAAATAAATGATTTTATGAAAAGAAATTATAATTCTTATAAAATATGTAAAGAAATTCTAAGTGTAAAAATACAATTTTATTTAAAAAAAAAAAATAATTGTGCAATAATTTATCATTTTTATAGAATACTTTTAACAAAACTCTTTTATTGTTATTATCATTAATCCACTAAAAAGTTTGATAGAAAAAAAATATATATATGGCATATTTAAAGAAATTATATTTTTAAATATATTAAATATATTAAATAATAATTTATAGATAAATTAAAAATAAGAGCCTCTATTTACTTGAATCATATAACAGTAAAAATTTTAATAGTATAAAAAGGAATAACAGTATATAAAAGGTAATATAATTTTTTCTTTAAATTTATTGAAGACTATTATTTAATATAATGATATTTTTACTTTATTTTCTCAATATTTAACATAGAAAATCTTTGTCCTTATATATTTAAATTCGGAAAATAATTATTATTATTTTATTCACAATAATTAAAAAAATAATTTATCCTTTATATAAAATTTCATTTATGTTGCTTTTGCAATTCTATGCATTAGCATTTGTAAACATTAGTAAGGATAACTTTAATATATTTATAAAAGTCTATATTGAAATATATATAAATATAATTATATTGACATATTCAACTCATATATAATGTAATTTTGAAATAAAAAACTATAATAATATATATCAGATAGTTTACTTTAAAATTGCCATTGTTTAATAATCCTTTATGTTATTCATATAATTATATATCTTGAGTATATAAATGTATTTTAATTTACATTAGTTTTTATATAAATTAAAATTCATAAATAACAGTAAGTTTATTAAAACTTTAAGTATTGAATAAAAGAATGTTTTTTATTGTAATTATTTCACAAATTTGAATAGAAAAAAAAAATATAAAGAATATATATTTAATTAATTATTTAAAATAAAGGATATTAAATATATTTTTTTTATTATTCTTTATTATATTTCCTAAAAATTGCATATAAACTTTATTAAAAAAAAAAAAAAAAAATTTATTTTATATTTATTTTATCATCATACTTTTAATTTTTTCAAAACAGTTATATAAAAAAAAATAGTTGTATGCTAATTAACAAATTAAATTTTTAACTTTTTCATTATTAAAAAGTATACAATATATCGTATGAAAAATAATCTTTATTACATTTTATGTTTGGGAAAAAGAATCTAAAGAATCGTTAAAAATTTTTTTTGCATCTGAAATCTTAAAATTTCATATTTATTTTCTCTTAATTTTGTAAAATAATTATTATTTTATATGAAACAATAATAAGAACTTTCATTTCCTTTTCATTAACTAAAAAATTATTATTATTTTTAATAAATACTTTTATCTACTCAATTTCTCCTTAATTTCTTTTTAATAATAATCTTCATTTATTATATATTTTTTATATTTCTTATTTTTTTTTGTTCCATAAATACAATTAGATGATCGTAAAAATGGCTACTCCGGGAATCGAACCCGGGACGTCTCGCACCCGAAGCAAGAATCATACCACTTGATCAAGTAGCCTAAGTCTATTATTAGAACAACCTTCTTTTATATAATATATACTATGTTGTAATTGTGTATTTGTAAATTTTTTACAATGTATACTTTTTATATAAACACCTCATTTTTTTCACATAATAATTAAAAATAATCAAAAATATATAATATTTAAATGGAATATCTAAAAAACATTATTTTTTATTTTTTAAAAAATACAGACAAAATGTTAGAGTTTTCTTCATATAATTATAAATTTTAATTGCTTTAAATAACTGTAAATTTTGGGTTTATTATTTTATAAATCTTTTATATTACTTCTATTTCATTATATTAATTAAAAATTTTTAAATTAATACATATTAGTTATTTTATTTAGTTTTTTTTTTTTTTTTTTTTTTTTAATATGACTTCCTATAAAAATTATATAAAAAAACAAATATATATATACAGTGTTAATATTTTTTTCAATTCATTATTGTAAAATTTATAGGAAATTATTATTTTTCTTTTTACCAAAATTTTTCTGAATTAAATAATCTTACAAGGATATAAAAAAAACATTCATATATACTTTTAATTTTTGGGAAATATTAAAAATATTTTCTACACTATTTTTACTAATTTCTGTGACCATAAATGTAATTAAATAATGATACTCCTATGCGTAAACCATAAATTGTTATAAAATAATAAAATTTTATTAAAATAATTAGTGGAAATTTTATACTTTGTATCAATTTTTAAAAAATATTTTTATGTTTTTTTTTTTTTTCTTTTTTCTTTAATATGAAATATTCTTTATTACATTTTAAGCTCAATAAATTATTACTTTTTAGAAAACTGAATATAAAAGATTAATAATAGAAAACCACAAAAAACTTATATATTTAAGTTATTGGAATATATTTCCTTTTGATTTTATTTATTAAAAAAAAAATAGACAATAAAAGATATTTATATATTTTAAAAATACAATATTAATATTAAAATGTACTATGAAAGTATGATATTCATATTCATCATTTCATTTTAAACATTTCTATGGTGACAAGAATTATTCGATTTATTTTAATTTTGCATAGAAAGTTATTTCCAAATAAAAGATAATTGATTTAATTTTAGAATACTTTTAAAAGTTAGTTAAATAATTTATTTTATAATTGCTTAATTACAAATTTTTTTTTATATTTGATGCATTTAGTATAATTTTATTTTTTAGATATTGTATTACATTAATGTTATAAAATTTTAAACATATTCATATATTATGTATAGTGCAATATGGTAATAATGATTTTTTTTTTTTTTTTTTTTCTTGGGTTAAAATTTATCTGTGACAATAATATAAAAGTTGAATTATTCCAATATTTATGATAAATAAAATATCCATTGCTATATAATTTACTCTAAATATATTGCTTAAGAAAAAAAATGAAAAAATTATTAAATTCTATTTACCAACTAATAAAAAAAAAAAATAATAAAAAATTTATAACAAAATATATATATTCTTTATAAGTAACAAAAATATATCGAGGAAATAACCAGTGAAAAATATGATGAAATGAATAAAAAAGAAATATAAAAAATTAAATAGAAAAATAAATTCACAATCATAAAATAAAAATTAAATGATAAAACATTTCTAAAAACAAGTATTGAAAATAAATTATAGTATCTAAAAATATATTTATTCATTTTTATTTGTTTTATTCTCTTCAATGTGTGAACGACAAACTGCTATTATAGCTAATGAGTGCATATCTGCTCTAAAAAATGATAACCTAGTATTGATTCCTATTCCCCCTATCTCACAGCTATTGGTAAACTTTGAGCAATATAAAAAGTTATTTCTAGTACTAGGAAAATTAGTATGGAACTCTAAAGAAAAACCAAATACTAATGTATTATTACTAGGACAGGAAAAATTCAGATATCCATCTTCTTTAAATTTACTTGGAACAACATATCCCATATTTTTTATTTGACTAAATGTTTGTATATGTTCTAATCCATTTGTTGTTCTGTCTACACAAGCAACATATATCATACTCTGTTTAAATTTACTATTTTGTAAAACAGCAGAGCAGCTGGTTTGGCCAGTACGGCAAGGATATATATCCACATTATTAGCAGAAGATGATCCCATACCTTTCATTAAAGCAAAACCAAATAAAATAACCAAACCTCTTGGACAGGTTGCTGTCACTTTAGGAGATTCACCTTGTTGAACTACTTGCGTAATAAATTCTAATGGATTATTTGAGCATAAACCCCATATTCTTGTATCTGAATAATTATTTTCAAATCCATTTCCACTACAAGATTCCTTCATTTGCTCACAACTAATCATACCAATAGTATTGCTTAGTTTTTTACTTTTATAAAAATCTAAATTTATGGAAAAACCCATCAGAAGACTACTTCCGATTGGGCATGTTAATAAGCCAGGTGGAGGCCCAGCATATAATTTTTGAGTACACTTTTCTAGATATTCACCTATAGACAATACACCATTATTATATTTTTCCTGATCAATAATTCTAACACCATAAGATAAGCCATAAAAAGTTAATGCATCTTTATATGCTTGTATCATATTGGGATCTTTCATAAAAAAGCTAAATGGTAACAGTTTTGTTCTAATAGGCATTGAATTTCTACCAATAGAATTAACCCATCTTTCAAAAAAAGAAGAATTTTCTACATCTAAACCAGGATTTCCACCTAGAATTGATATATTTTTTGATATATTAAATTTGGATAATATGCTTTGAGTTTGTTTACTAAAACTCGAAGATAATCCCATTTTATGAAAATAAAAATTAAAGAATGGTTTCATACTTAAATTATTTTCTTTCAATTTATTATATTCATTTTTATCTATATTCATTTTTAGTATAATTTTTCCCCCTAAATAGATTTCGTGAGCTACATGAGTACCATGAAGCTTAAAAAAAATTATCCATTTATTTACATTCTCTTCACATTCAGGGGTATTTATTTTATTTATGTAATCTTCATAAGTACATAAACTACCCTCTTTTAACCCATCAAATGTAGAAGGCAAATTATTCAAAGCTTTTTTAAAATGATCCGTAAATTTCCATAATGTTGTAGTTGGTATCCCCGTATAGTATCTTAAGCAGTAAATTTTCATCAAAAATATTACATTATTTTGTACTTTTAATTTTTCTAATGCATTCTTAAACTCCACGGAAGCCGAGAAAGAATATGGAAAAATTGATGCTGTACTTACTTTAACATCTGATAATAATTCTAACTTATATTGCTCTAAATTTCTTATTTCTTCTACATTTCTTGATTGACTACATGAATGTTCAGGAATTACCCAGGGAGTTGATCTCTTACTATCATTATTATTATTATTATTATTAATGTTAATATTATTATTATTTAAATTTATCTTTTCAAGGTTTATTTGAAGTACTGGTCCTCTGAATCCTGGGTCAATATTTAGAGTAGGATCTCCCTCTGGATTCCCCATAATTATATCATAACCTAATCCAAGATATTTTAAGGATAAATGAGTGTCTGGATTATTTAATTTTAATTTAGAATAAATATCATTATTTGTATTATCTGGTTTCTTGTTCTTATTATGTTCATTTTTTTCTTTATCTTCAATGGATTTTATGTTTTTATTATCTATATCGTCAATTAAGGCATCTTTTAAGTCAAAATCTTCATAATTTTCTTCATCTATTTTCTTTTTCCTTTCAGGGTTTTTATTTTTTTTTATTGTACATACAATATTGTCTGGTTTATATCCATCTTTTAGTATATCTAATAGATCAGAATCATCTATAACATAATTTTCATTATCTTCATTTTCTTTTGAATTATTGTCTTCATCATCAGTATATTTTATGAAATTTAAATTATTATTATTAAATACTGATTTTTTATTTATTTTATTGTTTATTTGATTCATGTCTCTATGAGCATATTTATTTATTTTTCTTTTTTTTTTGTTATTTATTGGATATTCTAGTTTAACATACTTATCTATTTCGAAATAATTATTACCTGTATAATCATTGGTAATATTACCTAAAAAAAGAAGATTCAATTTTTCCCTTGAATTTTTCAGACTTTTAATTCTGTTTTCATCATTTATTGTATAATTTTCGTGCAAGGAAATATTTTTTTCTTCTTGAGTTTTTTTAAAATTGCTATTAATTTTATCACCTACATTAGAATTATAATCTGTATATTTATATAATATAGGCTCAACAGTTTTTTTTTTTTTTTTTGAGATGTTCTTACATGAAGCTTCATTAGTTAATTGGTTTGGTTTTGAATTATTTATCACTTCATTATCATTTTTTTCTATAAATCCTTTCTTATCAGATTTTTCCTTTTGTATTTTTCTGCAATTTTTTTCTGTTATTTTTTCACTATATAATTTATCATATTTTTCGTTCTCATTTTTCTTAAATAAATCATTTTCTGTATTATGTTTATTTATAAGCATAAAACTAGAACCGATTTTTCTGCTTTCTTTTTCAAAATTTCTTTCTTCATGTAATTTTGCTTTTTCATTGATATTATTACCTTTATCAAGCACATTTCTTAAAGTTTCAGTATTACCATAATTGTATAATGCATTATTTAACAATTTACTGTAATTATTTTTTAATCTTTTATTTTTATTAACTGAATTTAAATCTATTATATATGAATTTTCTTCGTTTATGATATTCGAAGAAATGAAATTTTCTGGAGTTACATCTGTGACATCTTTTTGGTAATTAAGTAAATTACTATTTATTTCACAGTTTATATTTTTTATAAAAAAATAAAGTAGGTGAGAAATAAAAAATTCTATGAGTTTTCTCATTAATTACAATTTATTTTCTTAATATTGAGTTAAAAATATATTATATAAGGATCCATGTTTTTGTTTTTGCCTTCTGCTTCATTAAAAAAAATCAATATAATTTTTTAAATGACAAAAAAAATTAAAGAAATTAAATATCATGGTATTTAAAAGAAATTGTACTATGCATGCCTTAGATAATTTAAATAAAAAAAAAATTACATAAAAAAGTTTGTTTTCTTTAAAGGAAAAAGAAAATTAATAAATAAAAAGAAAGAATAAATACTATTTTCAATATTAGTTATGTCTATATTATTGTTAAGACAGATTTACATATATATAATATGCTTGTCTTATGAAAATTTAAAAAAAAATACTTAAGAGAAAAATAATTTTTTTTTCTATTTATAACAGATTGTGTTTTTTTTTTTTTTTTTTTTTATTAAAACTTCGTCATCATAGATTATTTTTTGAAAAATAAAGAAATAATGGAGAATAAGTACTTAAATTATACAATAATTTTTTTTATCTCAAAAAGCTCTAAATTACCTATAATAAATAGTATTTTTCGTGTCTGTACATAGTTTTTTTTTTTTTTTTCTATTTAAATTTAAAATAAGCTCATTATAAATACTATTTTATATTCAATATAAAATATTTTTCTACTTAAACACATAATAAAAAAAAATACATTAGTTTAAAAAAAAAAAAATTAATTGGAAAATATCGTGCCTACTTTTTGTTATTCACAGTCTAATATTTTTTTACTGTGTTTTTAAAAATGTTATAAAATAATGATTAACATTATGAAAAAAAATTTGCAGTATAAATTTAATAGTGTTAAATGCTTCATATAAAAAAAGAAATATTTTATATTATCTCAGTGTAAATACAAAAAAGTGTGAATATATTTTAACATTAAAGGTTTTATATCTCTTTTTATTATGTTTTATGATAAAGAAGCTCTATACTCTTTTTTAGATTTATTCATTTGTAGTTGTTTCATTTTTCATGCTCCTTTTAATTTTTAAGACGTTTCAGCCATAATACTATATATTATTGATTGAAGATGCATAAGTTTTCCAAAAAAAAAAATTACCTCTTTTTGTGTGTAATATATTTTAAAAATATGATAGTAAATTATAAATTGCCTTCTATACAAAGAAGCTAAAACCTTTATGAATTTTCATAATCAAAGGTTTTATAAGTCATAAACCAATAATAAAATTACTTCATAATGAATGTTTTAATTAAACACATAATTACAATAAAATAAAAAAATATATTAACATTAGACAATAAAAATAAGGTGATTAGCTATTTTTAAACTGACTTTATCCTATTTTTTTTTATTTTGCATAATTTTTATCCCATATTTTTAATTTTTAAACGAAATATAAAAATTTTTTTAATTTATTCTGACACAGAAATTACAAGCTATTGAATTCCAACCATAGAATTTAGCAAAATTGTTAAATAAAGTAGCAATCGCTAGTTGTATTGTGCATGTTACAAAATTATTTCACACTTTCTTAAAGTTAAATATGTTCAGGACATAAAAATTAATATCATGCAAAAAAATAGAGAAAAATAAAGTAGTTATTTTATTTTGGTTCAATGAAATATTTATTTTTTTTTTTTTTTAATCAAGTTTAAATTTATTTATAGCTAATTTATAATATTAATAAATTATATGATTACAACAGTAGCTTCTAAGACAACATAAAAATGATATTAATATGTAGAAATATTTTTATACATGTAAAAAAAATTAAGGTAGCTATAAAAAATAAAAAATTTGAACCTTGTCAAATGTTTTGCCAATTACCTGAACATTGAAATTATGCATGTAAAAAAAGTTTCAATCTTAAATTTAATTTTTCTTTTTTTTTTAAAAAATATATTTTTTTTTTTTTTTATATATTATTATTTAAATTATTAAAAAGAAGAAACATATCATAACAGAAAATAACATTTTCTTGCAGTTTAAAATATAAAATAAATTTCACATAAAAGTTTTAAGTTAAAATTGAAAATAGTATAAATTTAAAAGAAAAATTTTGTAAGTTGTCTTTTTGTTATTGCTTTTACTTCTTTATTTTTTTTTTTTTTTTTGTTAATATTTTATAGAAAACATATTTTTTTAATATACTTTTTTAAAATTTCATTTTTGAATTACATATATAAAAAATGAATCAATTAAAAAGATTATCCATTGTATCTACTTTTCTATTATTTTTTTCTCTATTGAATGTATCATGTTTTAGAGGTAACAATGGAACTAATGTAATATCATCGCTTCAGAATGAAAGTCAAATTTATGATCACTTAAATAATAATATATCTTCATTTATTTTACAACCCCAGTCTTTAGAAAAGATTGGTAATGATTTGGCTGATACTATTGCTAATGAAATAGTTAGTGCGTTGCAAAACGATTCAACATCATTTTTACAAGAAAAAGTTATATTTGATATAAAAGGACAAATAAAAAGACACGCAAAAGAAGTATTAAAAGAAGTTGCAAAAGCAGGAATACAACCAATAGAAGAAGTAGTAGCTTCATCAGTTAAACCTCCAACTATTTCACCTCATGCATACCAATTATTAAAGCCAATACTAAAATCTCTCTTTAATAAGGTAGAAAATTCCATAAAGACAGATGTACCTGACACTATATGGGATTACGAAGGAGAATCATCAAAAGAAAATGAAGAAGGAGAAGAAGAAGAAGAAGAAGATGGCTTTGATGAATTAGCAGACAGTATGATTAATGAAAGCTAATTTAAGCATATTTTTAATATTAAACAAAATTTAATTTTATTTTCTGTTGATATTTTGAAAAGTTTTTAACTAATATGATTATGTGCTAAAACGAGATTATGGTTTAAATAATGATTTTATCATTTTTTTTTTTGTTTTTTTTGTTTTAAGTTGTATATAATTCTTCTTTTTTTTTCCTTTTTTTTTTTTTTTTTTTTTTTTTGTTATTTGATTATTTTTTGACGTCCTATTTTTATAACAAAAAATTTATAATTGATATTTGTTTATGTTTATTTTCATTTAATTTTATTTTGTTAATATTTTTCTTTTTAATCAAAATAGACAGATATAATATGAAATAGGTTAACATTTTTTAATATTTTAAAATTATTTATGTGACTTTTTTTAATAAAAACAAAAATTAAAGAATACTAAAAAAAAGATTTATAAATAATTGAAGTGCAAATAAAATATCGTATTAATATTTAAGAGTATATATTATAACCCAAGAATATTTTAGACAAGTTACTATTTATATATATATTTCTCGATTAATATGTTATTTATTAGAGTAATATAATTAAAGTTATTAAAATTAAACAATTATACTTAAGTTATAATATATGAATGCTATGTAGCAAACAAAAAAAAAATACTACCTTTTTTTATCTTTATTTGAGCTAAACAAAGAAATAGATGTGTAAAAGGCTTAATAAAATTTCTAGCCATTATAAAGGAAAAAAAAAAATTAAAATACTTTTTTTTTTTTTTTTTTTTTTTTTTTTTTTTATGTATGTAATCCTTATTTTATGTATATTTGAGCTTTTTTTTTACATATTACTAATTTAAGATGTACTAATTGTTAAAACAATAATTCCTTTTATGTTGATAGAAAATATCAATTTTGTAATTAATATAAAGATAGATCTTAGAAAAAAAATAATTTTCTAAAAATAAAAACAAATCCAATAAAAAAATAATATATGCGTTTATATTTTATTGCTTTAAAACATTCATTATATTATTTTAAATTTATACTTATTTATATGTTTTTGGTATTTAATAAAATTTTTTTAGTGTGAAATTTAATAATTTATATTAAGATCTTAAGCTTCTGATTTTGAGACATTAAATTTTAATTTAAAATCTTTTAAAAATTAAAGTATTTCTTTGGATAAACAACATATATATATATAGATTTATTATTTATATATTTTTTTTATGTTTAAATAAAAATAGCATAGGTTTTACTTTAAAATGAAGGATTTTAAAATGTCAAAATTAAATATCTATGTTTTTTTAATTCTTTATTTGAGTTTTCAAAATATATATAAATGTATTAAAATAGGAAAACAACAAAACAAAGTGCATAACAATAACGTAAGATTGGAATCAAAATTTGATAATTTGTCTTCAAAGTGGAGTAATAAAGGATATAATTTTATGGATCTTTTAAAAAATGGATATTTAAAAAATAAAGGAAATTTAGATGATGTGAAAGATAACCTAGCTGATGAATTAGCTAATAAAATACAAAATAAAATAGAAGATTATTTAAAAGAAGAAAATAATATGGGTGATATAGAAAACTTTACTGATGAAGATTTAAATGATTTGAAAATTTATGTTAAAGATATTTCAGAATATGTTGGTTTGAAAGCAGCTGATTTATTAGACAAAAATTTAGAAGAAGCACTTAAACCTATTTTAACAAAGAAAGCTTTTGATAGTTTTGAAAATAACTTAAATAATAAAATTATAGACGATGTAGAGTATGAAGAAAATCCAAACGATGAAAATGTAAATGAAGAAACAGAAACGTTTGTAAATGAGTTAGTCAATGACTATGAAAATAATCAGCTTGATTCATTAGATCAATATGAAAAGGAAATAAAAACACACAATAATTTAGACTAGAATAAAAAACTAAATAACCCTATAGATAATGTAATATTATAATGATCCAGATATAGTATAAAAAATTTACATATATATGTGATGAAATTGATTTATGTTTTAAAAACATAATTTGTTTTATTTTTTACTCTGATATATGTAATATTCTTAAAGATGAATTTTAATAATACATAACAAAATTAATTTTTTTTTTAAGTATGTATTTATATCTCGTTAAGTATAGAAATATGAGAATTTTTTGAATAATTTTTTTTCTTAATTTATGTATGGACTCGTTAAACTATTTTTTTTTTTGATTATATTAGTTATGCAGTTAATGCAATTAATTTTATCTTGTTATCTTTGTATATGAACTTTATACATATTAATGAATAACATGAAAAAAAAATAACTAAACGAAAATTTCTAATAATACAATTTCTTCAAGACTATATATTTGGTATATTTAAATTTTTTTTTTTATTTTTCATTTTTTTTTTTTCACAAGTAAGAAGGAAAAATATAAAAAGAAAATACTTAATACTTCAAGAAATAAGACAAAAAGAAAAACACTAAAAAAATTTAGACTTTCTAATTTTCTTATCATATAAAAAAAAATTTATATATAAGAATTGTAAAAATTTACAAAAAAAATTATGTAGAATTTTGATCTTTATTTATATATCTTTTTCTTATGATTTAAGTCACTAAACATTAATTACAATGCAATATATAAAAAGATAAAAAATATAATTATATGAAAAAAATTTAACTATGTCAAAAGAGTACATATGTATTTTTATAAGATAAAGTTTATTACACAGAAAAATCTAAAATTATGCTTAATGTGTGCTATATGCAAAATACTACGAATATGTATAAGTTTTAGTATTGTTAGTTTTGGTTTATTAAAATATCTACAAAAATATTTAGAGATTTCTGTATACACATTGCATTTATATGCTCTTTTTATTCTATATTTAAAAAAAAAAAAAAATTATAAAAAAATAGAGTTTTGAATTTTTTGGGATTTATTTTTTATTTTAAAATTTATGTTATTTATATATAGTAGTTGTATAAAAGAATGTACAAAAAAAAATTCTGTTTATTTTATGATAGAATTAACAACAAAGAAATTTTAATTAATAAAAAAAGAAAAATAAAATAAAATGATAAAAATGAAAATTTAATTTTTTATTTTAAGAACATTAAAAATGTATTTAAGAATCGTTTGAATAGAAATTGTTATCAAAATTTTATATAAATTATGAAGAGGTAGGAATTTGAAAAATGTATGATTTACTGTAACAGATGCAATATTGTAAAAAAAAAAATAACATATAAAATATATTTTATCATGAAATGAATTTTTTTTTTCTAAGCATTTGAGAGATCCGAAAATTGGGAAAATATAAAAGAAATACGCGAAATAAATTTTTAGAACAAATGTAGGAAAAATCAACAAAATTAATTGTGGCATGTAAATTAATAAATTAATGGAAAATTTTATATAAAATGGTAACTTAACACTTTCTGTAACATTTTCTGTAATAACAGATTTTAAAAAGGAAAAAATTAACTTTACTGTTTCGTTCAATTTAATCTTTTTTTTAATAATTTTTGATAATTTAATTAATAAATTACTTCTATGAATATACTGAAAATCACAATCATCATTTTGTTTTACCCCTTGTTTCTCCTCATTTTTTATTCTTATATTGAATAAAAAGTACAAAATAAAATCAACAATATTAACCAAAATTTTTTTTAAAATACGAACCAATATTGATGATTTGTAATTTTTTATAAATAAAAATTCGTGTAATTTTTCACTAATATTAATTATTATAACAAACAGAATAAAATATTCATACAAAAAAAGGATTTTGTTATACGTATTAAAAAAAAACAACAAATTTAAAAATTTTAAGATATTAATAAACAACCAGTACTCTAATAAAAAGGAAACGTCGTAATAAAATATATTATTTTTTTCATTTTTTTTAAATAACTTAGTTATCTTATAATCACTTTGTTTGTTGCTAAAAGGCTCAATAGGTTTCTCGTTTTTAATTTGTGGTACTAGTTTATTTTCTGAATTATTTTTAAAAGAAATTTTTTCTATCTCTTTAATTTCATTTCTTTTTTCAACATTTGTATTATTTTTTTTTTTACTCTTTTTATTTACTTCTTCTTTTTTTTCTTCATTGTATTGTTCTTTATCTGTTACTTTCTTTTTGTTTTCTTTTTCTTCTTCTTGTTCTTTTTTTATTTTTTTAATTTCTATTTTTTTATTATCTTTTTTTATTTCTCGATTAATTTTAGTTGTTTTCTTGTTTTCCTCTAATTCATTATCAATTCTTTCATTATCAATACTTTCATCATCAATATTTATATTACCACTTTCGCTATTTATCGGATTGTCATAAGCGTCATCAGTATTATTTGCTAAATAGTTGTTTTCTGATAAAGAACTGATAACACATTCATTTATATTTGGCAAATAGATATACTTAATAATTATTATTAGTGAATAAATTGACGGAAATGGAAAAAAAAAGGAATAAATAAAAAATGAAATAATAGAAATTGAAACAGTTTTTATTATAATAGTATATAACAAAAGACTGACTATATAAGGAAATATATTAAACAAAAATTTATTTATCTTAAATAATTTTTTTATGAATAATTCGTAAAAATTAGAAATTCTAATTAAAAAGTATTTTACTACCCCTGCATGAACAAGATAAGAAAATGCTGATAATACTGTTATTATATATATTATATATTTTTTTGTTTTGTAATTTGAATTTAAATAGAATTTTTTTAATTTAAAAAATAGCAATATCATATAAGGCTCAATAATAATGAACCACAAGAAAAGTAATTTTATTAATGATATTAATAATATTCCATATGAATCTAATATATTTAAAATTGATCTAAAGGAGATAATAAAAAAAAATTTTGTATTTTCAAAAAATTCTAAAAATAAAGAAATTATTTGTTCAATTTTAGTTTCATTATTCGTTTCTGAAAAAAGTGGATATAATATATGACTAATTGCATCCTTATATTTATTATTATGTATACTATTGTAATTCACAATATCATATTCACGATTGTTCTTAAAATTGCTATCATCGTCACTGCAAATTTCATTATTTAAATAGCATTCACTGTTTTTTGAATATTTCAAATTAAATTTTTCATGTTTTACTTTTTTAAATAATACTAAAATAATACTAAATATGGATACAGTTAAAAATAAGAAATATTTCTTAAACATTTTAATTTTGGTATTATTATTATTATCATTACATTTTTATAATATATAAATATCAGCATAAAAATATTTATATCAATTCTCTAAAACATACAGATTATTTTTTTTCAATAATTTTTAAGAAGTTCTTGTGTCTTCATTTTTTTCATTAATTTAAAATCAAATATATATTGAATCTACTTTGTTCAAAAATATTTCAAAATATGTAACATAAAATATAAAAGTTGTTTATTGCTTAAATCATATAGTGATTTAAGAAAAATAAGAAATAGGTAAAAAGTATATATTTTTATATAATTTTTATTATTGATAGTTTATTAATATATACTAATATTATTTACGTTTCATATCTCATAATTCATAAACATACATTTATACGTATATTAAAATAATGAAAATAATAAAATAATTTTAAAATAGAAAAAATCATTTATTTTACTTAAATTTAAGATTTAATAAATTCGTTTTTTAGTATTTGACAAAATTTTTTAAAGTTGAAATAAAAAAGTTCATTTAAAAAAAAAAAAATTGTAATTTAAGTATTCAAAGGAAATATACACTCTTATTTTTTTTTTTTTTTTTTTTTATAATTACTTTATTTTATTTTAATTTTTTTTAATAATTTAAAATCACAAAATTAATGAAAATTAACAAATAAAAATATTAAATGAAAAATAACATATTCTTATGAACTACACATGAATACCTTTTTATATTTAAAAATAATAATTATTAAATATATTTATTTTTAAAGATATTTTCTAAATATTCCATTTTTTTTTTCTTGTGATTTATATAAATTCAAGGTTCATAATAAATATTACCTATAAATTTTTTTATTTTGAAAAATTAGATATATTTTTTCATTTTTTTTTTTGTTATTTTTGACATATTGTAAAAAATGGTCAATGAAAATTAAAGATTGAAAAGATAATGTTTAGAAAACTTACATTAAATATAAACTTTTGAACAGAAGCTATTGATTTAATAATCTATTAAATTGTCTTAAGATAGGCTCTAAATTAATAGAACAAAATATAAAAATAAAGATGTCATGAATAATTTTGTGTTTTTTTTTTTTTTTTTTTTTTTTGGTTGCTAAATACCTTTCATTTATATTATTATTTATTTATTAATATTTTATATACATAAATTTGCAATTATTCAAAAAAAAAAAAAAAAAAATTAGAGTTAATTTTTTTTTATGATTTTAATAAAGTTATTATCATATAATAGTCTTTTATATTTTAATTTTCTTATAAATATAATACTACGGAATAATATTTAGAATATCTTTTTTTTCAATAATAAAATAATTTATATAAAAGTGTAAAATAAAAATGATTAAACCAGAGGAAAATGTAAATAATGAGAGTTTGGAAACCAAGGATGTTTCTCGATGGAAAATAATTTACCCTAATTATATAAATAAAAAAAAAAAAGTGAAAGAAGGAAGAAGAATAAATTTAAGTTATTGTGTGGATGATCCTTCAATTGAAGAAATTGAATTGGCATGTAAAGAGTTAAACGTTTCTTATTATGTTGAAAAAAAAAAATGTTATCCAAGAGATTGGCAAGTAGAAGGTAGAATAAGAGTAAAATTACCAAATATAGAAGAGCAAATTTTAAATAAGTTTGATTTAATGAAAAAAATCGGAATAAAACTACAAACAATAAAGGTAAATAATGAATCTAATACATCAACTAACCAAAATAATTTAACGAAGAAGAAAAAAAAAAACCAAAGATAAAGACAGAATTTACAAAATTTTTTCTGTATGAGTCATGATAAATTTTCTGTTTTTACATATCGAAATTTAAGAAAAAAAAAAAAAAAGAAAAGAAGAAATTAATATAAAATATTGAAAAAAGAAAATATGAAAAATTTAAATTTATAATTTATTATTTATTAACATATTTTAAGCTATTTTTTTTTTTTTTTTTTTAATTTATGTTTTTTAAGTAATATATATATTTAATTTTAATTTTTATTTTAAATTCAAACTTTTTTTTATATTGTTTTTTTTTAAAATTACATATATATATGTATAATTAAAATAGCTTTACATAAATTCTTTTCAATGAGATGTGTATCTTTTATATTTTTACGTTAAATTTTTATAATTATTTATTTATAAAAATGATGTATTAAATATTTGTTGACTATATGCTCATTAAAAAATTATTAGAAAAATTTTTAGTTGAACCTTTTTCTTTTGAAAAGAAATATTGGATACTTATGAAAAGTGTTTACATACAATTCTCCATTTACAATATATTTAATTAGTATTATCAATATGTTCAATTTTTAATAGATATAAAAAAAAAAAAAAATAATGAATTTAAAATTGAAAAATGTAATTATGAATTATAATCATAATCAACAAAAAGAAATAATGTCAAGGAAAACTTAAATTTTATTATACATTATTTGTTAAATTTTTATTAGAGGTTTAATGGAGCCATTCTATTATCCATAAAAGTTTTTAATAAATTTAATGGTTCTTCTTTTTCAAAAGAAATTTTATGAAGAATAGTAAAAAGCGGAAAATCTTTTGTCAAATCTTTTTCTCTTATCATCTGGTAAATATATTTTAAAGTAAGTGTTCCCTAAAGAGAAAAAAAAAAAAAAAAAAAAAAAAATTATGAATATCATATTCTATGAATTAACTACATAAATATAAGTTTATCGCTTCATTACATTCTTATTTTAATTTATTTCTCAATTTTCTAAAAATATTAAATATATGCGTCTATTTACAATATTATATTTTTAACTTTTATTCATTTTTTTTTTTTTTTTTTTTTTTTAAATATTTATATACGAATAAATATATTTTTTCTAAATATAAAAATTAACCTGTAATTTTTGTCCTTTTAATATTTCATTCTCTAATTCTTCCCATGACCTTTTTTGCTTGCATTTTATAAATTCAGCAGAACATTTTGCATTTCTTCCTCCCAAAAAGGATGTAATAATATCAGCAAATCCACAACTTTCAAAAAATATACTTTCATTAAAATTATTAAAAAATATTTTTGCAAATAATTTTGTTTCATTAATACCAATTCTTATTATTGCTGATTTAGAATTAGGAGAAGCATTTAGACCATCGCAGAAACCAGCTGCTAATGTTATAATATTTTTTAAAGCACCACATATCTAAATAATTAAAAAAAATAATATTTATATTAAAAAGTATTTTTTTTTTTTTTAATTTTTTACATTTTTATAAATTATAATTTATTTTCTTTTTTTCTTTTCATTTTTATACTTCAACTCCAACTGTTTCATTAACACAATTTATTTTAAAATACGGTAAATCAAAAACTCTCTGCCAAATTAATAAAACATCCCTGTCATCCCCTCCTATTGTAGCTTCAGAAAATTCTTCCATACCAACATCCTATGATGAATATGGAATTAAATATTTTTTTTTATCATTTACTTTTATAAAAAAAAAATATATATACAAAAATATATATATATAAGAATATATTAATGTTCTTTTTACTTTTGCTATGTTAGCTCCTGATAAAGCACAACATGGAATATTTAAAAAGTTGCTAATAACTTTAGAGCAAAGGTTTATTTTATTATCTTTAATAATAAATCCTTTTGTTAAGGAAATGGCTTTTACATGTTTTGCTATTTTAATTGACTTGTTTTGGTGTATCATAAGCAATACATTTTCCAAATACTGACAAGGAATAATAAAAATTAGTAAATCAGCATGATTAACAACTTCAGCTATATCACTATATGCAACAATATTATGTGGTAAAGCAACTCCTTTTAAATACTTTAAATTTTCATGTTTCTGATTTATTATGTCTTCCATTTTTTCTCCATCAAAAACTTCATCTCTAACCCATATTTTTACTTCATTTTCAAATAAGTAATTATTCTGAGCATTCGTCCCAACAACCTTACTAATTGCACTAGCCCAATTTCCACTACCGAGTATTGATATCTATTAAAAAAAAATTTAGGAAATCTATATATTTCACTTTATTCATTAAACAAAAAAAAAAAAAAATTTATATTTTTACTAATTATCTTAAAACATATATACTTAAAAAATTCTTTTCATTTTATGAAGAATCATAGTAAAAATATATAAATTAAGAATAAAAAATTTTTTTTTTTTTTTTTACTTTCAGTGGTCCATCTTTTAATTTATCAAAAAGATTTTTATACATTTTATATATAAATTTGAGAAAAAAAAGTGGAATTCTTGAAGTTAAAAATATAACTACCTAATATTTTTATTATCTATGTATTTTCTATGCATTAAATTTTTTTTTTTTTTTTTGTTATTTTATTTATTTTTTTAAATATTCTTGCATGGTTTCTTTTATCAATATTTTTATAAGAAAAAAAAAAATATATTTGTAATTACAATTGATAGAAAAAACAATTTTGTACTTAATTTAGGGAATTTAATATTTTCTTTTTTTTTTATATTTTGTTATTTATTTATTTTTTTTTTTTAAATTCTTTATTTTATAATAATATTATATTTTCTATTAATTTCAATATCACCGTTTGTATTTTAACACAAAAATTCATTTTGTTATTCTCTACTCCTAGGAATTATTTTGATCAAACATCATTGTATGATTTAAAAATTATTTTTTTTTATGTAAATATTTAAAATTTTTCTTTACTTTTTAATCTATTTTATGAATTAAAAAATAATCTGTTCGTAAATTTTTATAAAAATATATTTATTTTCAAATAAAGTTTTTAACTCCATTGATAAAATTCCTTTTTTTTGTTTAACCTTTTTAGAATATAAGTTTTTATTTTCATTAATCATCGACATTAATTGAAATTTTCCTACCTTTATACAGTTGAGCCTCACTTATTAATAATAATAGCAAATTTAATATAATAATAGAAATAATAACCTTATATTGTTTAAATACCCATACTGGTATTAAACATTTTATGTGTAATAAATAATAATTTAATAATAAGGTTAAATACGATAAAACTAATAAGAATAAACTATCTCTAGGAAAATTTTCACACAATGATGTTGATATTAAGCTAAAAAATATGGGTATTAAAGAAGAAATATAACGTAAGCTATTATATAGTCCTTTGTATTTTCTATTAGGTGGTATTGCGTATTGAATTAGTTGAAGTAATGAATTAAATCCCCCATTGAATGCTAAAAAACAAGAAGAAAAATAAATTTCTAATGTTAGTATATCTCTTATATAGTTTTCTTTATCAATCTCTGGTAATATATGAATTAATACTACTCCACTTGAAATAATAAACAAAAAAATATAATGCATAATTTTAAAACATAATGGAACTGTATATGTTCTTCCTTCAATAGGTAAAAACTCAAACAGTAATTTATTGTGGCTATCCTTTATTTTTATATCAGCAAATTTTTTTTCTATTAACTTGCTATTAAAGTAAATATCCCTAACATCATCATTTAAATTTAATTCCTCATTATGAATTTTTTTTTTTTTACCATCTACTTTGATATTTACATATTTTCTTTTGATATTATAACTATATTTATAATTTAATTTAAATATTTTGCAATTGTTAATATTTTGTGTAAAATATGAATTTACACCATTTTTCCTGAAAAACTTTATCATATTATAATATGAGAACCATTAAAAAAAAAAAAAAAAAATCAAACTATATAGTGTATTTTCAAAATTTTTATCCAATTATTTCATTCCTTTTTTTTTTTTAATTAATCTTTTTAGAAGTAAAAGGAAAATAAACTAAAATTTATAGAGTATATTTCTTATATGTGCTACTAATAGATATAGATTAATTTCTAATAGATTTATAAATATTAAAAAAAAAATAAAATATATATAAAAGAGGCAAAAAAAAAAAAAAAAGTCCCAAAATTAGCATATAAATATTAAAAAAAAAAAAATATAAAATATATTTTATTTTTAAAAAAAATTAATGTGTATCTTGGAAAAATAAAAAGAAAACATAATACTATAAATATGAAAACATTTTCCTTTTTAAATAATAAATGTTTACTCTTATAATGAAGTGTATTAATATAAAATAATAAATTTTTTTTTTTTTGTATAATTTTAAATTAATAGAAATATGAGTATATATTTTATTAAAATATATATGGTAATACTATTTTTATTATTTTTTTTTTTTATTCATAAGATATTACGTGTATTCTTATTTGTAGCCGAAAAAAAAAAAAAAAAAAAGAAAAAAAAATTTTTTTTTTTTTTTAAATATTAATTTTTGGAAATGTACATAAATTCTTGACGAAAAATTATAATAATATGAAGAGTTATAAAAAAAAAATGAGAAAAGAAAAAAAATTATTTATATATTTAATTACAGAAAATGTAGTATGTATAAAAAAGAAAAATGTTATATATGAATTATAAAATTATTGTTGATGCATTCATATATTTTCTTAAGGGCTTTGGAATATTTAGTTGAATTTTGTCATTTTTTTCCTTATTTTGAATTTGATATTGCTCTAATATAATTGCTAAAACTCTTCCTACTGCTAAACCAGATCCATTTATAGTATGGCAAAAAAATTTTTTACCATTTTCTTTAAATTTTAAATTTAATTTTCTTGATTGAAAATCTAAGCAATTAGAACATGAAGATACTTCAATAAATCTTTTTTGACTAGGTAACCAAGCTTCTATATCATAACATATTGATGCAGAAAATGGTGTTTCAAAAGAATTTAATAATACTAGTCTATAGGGTATTTTTAATTTTTTTAAAATGTATTCACAGTGTTTAATTAATTCTTTATAATAATAAAGAGAACTCTTTTTATCAGTAATAGCTATTAATTCCACTTTTTCAAAAATATGTTCACGTAATAATCCTTTTGATGTCTTCCCATATGTAAAATTTTTTTCTATTCTGAAACAGGAAGAATGGCTAACTAATTTAACAGGCAAATGATCATGATTTATTAGAGAATTTTTAAATAAATTTAATAAGGAAACTTCACTTGTTGGAATTAAATAAGCTTCTTCATTTAAAATTTTATAATTTTTATTAATTTTAAACAAATCATTTTCAAATTTTGGTAATTGTCCAGTGTTCGTTAATGCAGATTTTGCTACAATTACGGGAGTTTTTACATAAATATACTTAAATTTATTTACATGGATATTTATCATAAAATCTATTAATGCTTTTTCTAATTTTGCTATATTATTTACTAAAATATTATACCCAAAACCAATTTTATTAGGTATATTTGAAAATATATAATTGTTATCGTACTTTTTTATAATATCTTCATGAGCCTTAATTATAGCATTTTCATTAATTTCCATATTTTTCACTTTATATGTTTTAACAATTTTACAATCGTTCACTGTTTTTCCTTGTGGTACATTGTTCAATAAAATGTTTGGCATTTTATTGAAATACTTTTCTATTTTACATTTCAAATCTGACATTTTTGTTTCATTATCATAAATATTACTATTAATTTCATTAATTTCATTTTTAATATGCTCTATTTCCTTTTCACAATTAATCTTAAAATATTCCATTTTATCACTTTCTTTCTTTTGTTTAGAATTTTTATATTCTATAACAAAATGATTTGATTCATTGTTGTCACTTTTTTTACAACTATCATTTTCTGAACACAATCCATCTTTTTCGCTTTTAGTTATATTTGAATTTTCAATTTTTTCAATATCTTTATTTGAATAATTTTTAGAAAGCATAAGATTTTTAACCTCATCTGATAATATTTTTCTTTTATTCCTTAAATTGTTTCTTATTGTCTCTAGTTTATTTTTTTCTTCTATTAGTTTTTTTAATATTTCAACAGTATTTAAATATTTTTCCATACCTCTTTTTCTTAAATTTTCTATTACCTTATTTTCATTTATTTTTAATATTTTAAGACTCATACCATATTCATTATCTAATGTATCAATTTTATCATTATGTTTATTCTTGAAATTAACTGAATGTTTTTTAATTAAATTCAAAGATCCCCATTTATTATTATACAAATTAATAAATAATTTTTTTGTGTTTTTTCTACACTTTCCAAATAAATAATGAATGAATAATATATTTAACAAAATTAAAGTTTTCACATGCATAATACATATTTAACATTTTGTCATAAAGAGGACAGAGATTATCTCATTTAATATATTTATTATACACATACATTGAATTATTTTTATAAAACAAATAAAATTTTATTGAATATTTATACTTCTCTCTGTTTTCAAAACTAATTTCTTTTCTATTCATTAGAATTATCTAGATATATCTTTTATTCGAAATCTCATTAGTATTTAAAAAAAAAAAAAATTAAAAATAAATTATAATAAAATTTCTAAAAAATTAAAAGAAGTTTTTAAATTTAAAAATAATAAAAAACTATACGATATAGTTAAAAATAATAAATATTTAAAATATTATTAAAAGAATACATAAAAATAATAATAGTAAAAATAAAAATCCTTAAAACATACAAAAAAGGTATAGGTAACAACTGTAATTAAAATTTATGAAAATGTAATAAATTAAAAAATTCAGAATTTTTAGAAGAAATTAACAAATTTTTATTCGTGTTTTGTATTTTCTTGACGTTTTTATGGATTATATTACTAAAAATAATAAATGAATTATATTATTTACATGCAACAAACATAAGAATGTTAATTTTTTTATTTTTTATCAAAACAAATTTAAATATAATTTATAAAAGAAAGAATAAAAATATGGAAAATTTATTATAAAAATGATCATAAAAAATGAAAAATAAAAAAAAAAACAATAAGTAAATAATTTTTTTTTTTTTTTAAAAAATCAAATATACTTTACACAAAGATAAATATAATAGAAGAAAATAACTTATAACAATATTATATTTATATATATATATATATATAAATATATAGATATGGATATATATTTAAATTTATTTTTATTTTTTATATATGCAAATTTTAAAAAGAAAATTTTAGTAGAAACATAATTAAAAATATTATACAATTTATATTATGTTTTAAATATATGTTTTATTATATATATATATCCTTATATTTATTTTTTTTTTTTTATAATTATGATTATGAAACATCTTCTACAACATTTTTGAAATTTGAAAAATCTTCCATTTCATCCATATCTCCAATTTCAGTAAAATGAGAAATTCTCTTAAGTCTATCAGAAGGCTTAAATAAAATCATCATAGCAGTTAAAATAATTAAAAATAAAAAGCTAATTATTCCTTCACTTATATAACATTTTAAACTCCATACTGTATTATCAACATATACTATTACTATTATATCAATAAAAAATGCAATGATTGAAAATATTAGAGTAAAAATTAAAACATTAAAAAATTTCTTAAACATATTTAATTTTTCATATTGTTTATCTTCATTTAATTGAATAATAATTTTGCTAGTAGAAGTAAAAACCCACAGATAAATTATAAAATAAATGATAGTTACAGGAATGATACAAAAAAGAAAATAAACTGTATTAATTTGTGAATCTGAAAAATGCAAATCTATAAATTGCTTTATAAAATCAAAAATAATAAAAAAAAAAAATAAGACTTTTATTTTAGTAAATGTTTTCCTATCAAGGGTAGGAATAACTAATCCCCAACCTAATGATCCTAATAAAATTAGAAGGTAAGAACAAACGTTTTTCAAAATACTGGAGCATACTGATAGAAATAATAAATGATTATTTACCTTTGCATATAAATTATATACTAGAAAATATAGAAACAAAAAGAAATTTTCCATTAAATATAAAAATATACAAACTAAAATCCAAATTTGAATTTTTATGGTAAATTTTTTATTTTTGATTAATAAATAAATCCATGTTAATAAATAAATAGAATATGTTATCATACAAAAAACATACAAATTTAATTTAGATATTTTGTCTCCTGGTAAATATCCATATTGATTTAAAATATGAATATTTCCGTGTAATTCTAATTCATAATTTTTACTATCTAAACAATTTGATAAAAATAATGCATAAATATCTGTATCATTAACTTTATATACAAACTCATTTTTAATTTTATTTAAAAATTGTTCTTTATTTATTTCCCTTTCATCTGATGAATCACTGTCATTTTTAATTCTATCATTAATAAAATAAACTGGCAATCTTAGTGAATACATGTCATTTTCATCCACATACCTCTTCAAATACCCTTTATCAGGACAAACATATTTATCATTCCCATCAATGCCAGTTTCTTGCATTTGACAACATACATCACTATCTTTCGGTAAATAAAATTTATTAAAATCTTTTTCTTTCATAATAATTAATTCTAAAAATAATTCTGATGATTCAAGGGATTCCATCTCTTTAGAATACTCATATTCTTTTTTTCTACGAAGATAAGGATTATCTTTGTATAAATTTATTTTAAATTTTTCTTTTTTATTTTTTTCATCAGTGTCTTCAGTATCATCTTTTTTGCTCTCATTTAATTCATTGTTATTATTCTCTTCCTCTTTATTTTTTTCTATTTCAAAACTAAAATATTTCGTGTTTCTATTATCAGTAGTACTTATACCTATATTTTCAAAAACAGCATGAGGTTCCTTAAATTTCATATCTTTTTTTTCTCCTAATATTACATATGGAGAATCATTTTTTCCAAATATATATAAGCCTTTCAAAACATAAAGAATATAGTAAGTATTAATTTTTTGTCCATCTAATTTTATTAATTGACAATTAAAAATTCTTAAGAAAAGAAGGATGAGGAAAAAAATAAACATAAAATTTTTAATTTTAATATTAGACTTACATATCATCATTCTATTTTACAAAAAAAAATAAAAATATATATATATAAAGAAATAAAATTAAATATTAATAATGAATACACTTTTAAATTAAATAAATTACATAACAATAAAAATTATAAAAATTTTTAATGTATATTTTTATATAGTTTTTTTTTTTTTTCTTTTTTTTTTTTTTTTTTTTTTTTTTTAATAATAATAAAAAAAAAAAAAAATAATAATATGAACGTTATTTATAACTTCGCATGTTGCAAAGGTTAATCATATTCATTACACATAGCTTTTTCAAAAAAAAAAAAAAAAAAAAAAAAAATTGATATAATAAATATATATTTAAAATTTCCATTTTATGTATAAAATAGATACATTTATTATATAATTGATTTTTTTTTTTTTTTTCATCTTTTAATAAAATGAAATTTTATAAAATTGAATTACAAGTATATTTTTTATTAAATTTAATGAATTTCTCATACACCTAATTTATAAAAAAAAAGTTTACAGCTATTTATTGATAATTTTTTCTTAAAAAATAATACTATATATGTTTAATAATAAAAATCATACAGTAATAATAATTATAATAAGAGGCAAAAAAATAACAGTAATTATTATAAACTTTTATTTAGTCTACATTTATTTGAGACGTGGAATTATTTTTATTTCATAAATTGTATGACATAATAAATTATGGAACAAAAAAAAAAAAAAAAAAAAAAAAAAAAGGATAAGTCAAATTGTAAATTAGTAATAATACAGAGAAAATTTAGTTACATTTTATATGTAAAAAATGAAAATTAATTTAACATTTCTATAATATATAAAAGTATTTTCTTTTTTTATGTATTGTATTTTTTAATTTTATTCATTTTATTACTTTTCTCTTTTTTTTTTTTAAAAAAAAGTTAATAATTTTGTAAAAAAATATGAAAAAATATGAAAAAATATTGACGATTAATATATCATTTCACAAAGAAAAATAAAAAAATAGATACCCTAACAATATTTAGAAGGTGTAAAAATAACGATATTAAATAAGACAAAAATTGAAAGAATAAAATTATATAACAACGTTTATAATATGTTTATTTGATTCTAAAAAATATATTAAAAATAATGCGTTTATGTTCTTTTGAAGATATATTTTTTAATTTTTCTTTTAATAGCAAATATTAGCAACTTTATAAAACAGAAAAGAATTATAAATATTTAATATATTAAATAATATAAATGAAAAGTAACAAAAGTTTTATATTTAAATAAGTAAAAATCCACATTAAGGTTTTATTTTGATTATATAAATCTTTCTATATTTTTTTTAAGAATTAAAAAAAAATAAAATGAATTTAGATTTTTATAAAATATAATATATAATAAATATATTTTTTTTTTTTTTTTTTATGCATAACTAATGTAGTTATTTTATTTATTATATATTAAGGTAGTAAAAAAGGTAAATCGTAGTTAGATATTCCATTCCCTATATATAAGGAAGCATAAAATGGGGTATTAAGAATATGATAAAAAATATAACCAGGATACAAATGGTTTATAATAGAAATTTTACTTAATTCTTCATTTATTTTGATATTCCACATATTTGTTGGATTATCTGACTCAATAGAATCTAGAAAATTATTTAAAAAAAAAGTGTCATAATTTTTAATTTTATCATATGTTAAATTTTTAGGGTATCTAAAATGAACCCACGATGTTAATTTTAATGCATCTAAAATGTTTAATCCGCTAAAATTGGAAAATTTCACTTCTAGATTGTTAGTAATTTTCACTGAGTTGTAAGGTATTATAAATGCTTCTTCATCTATTTTTCTTACAATATAAGACAATCTTTCAAGTTCTATAACATTCTGATTATCATCCTTTTTATTATTTTCATTTTTTTCTACCATTTCATTTTTATCTTTAATATTTTTTTCATTTTTATTATTATCATTTTCACTACCTTCATTTTCATTATCATCATTTTCATTATCATCATTTTCATTATCATTATTTTCACTATCATTATTTTCATTATCATCATTTTCATTATCGTTGCTTTCATTGCTTTCATTTTCACTATCTTCGTTTGCACTTTCTTCATTTTCACTATCTTCATTGTTTTTTTCTTTTCTCATTTTTTTTTTATCATTTCTCCAATAAAAACTATTTGGTGTTCCGTTAAACAAAGTAAAAGGTGTTTTTTTTTCAATGTTTTTTATTAATGTATCATTTCCTTTTTTTATTTCGTGAAATTCATAATCATTATTACAATAAAAAAATTTTTTGTTTGGAAAAAAATCATCATAATTAAAATAGTAAGTTATATAGTAATCATTTTGAACTCCTTCTATTTTCCCCCATAAATAAATTTCCTTCTTTATTTTGTCTTCTAAATTAATCATACCATAAAGTAAACCCAATTTCTCTTCATCATTAAAACATCTATTAGATTCACATAAATTTTCTAAATGAAAATCCAAATTTTTTAAATTAATCATTTCAAACAAATATAAAAAAGGAAATTTTATTTTTATTTGATATTATTTTTCTTTTCATAAGAAAATATTTCAAGGATATATATGACTTTAAATTTTTAATATAAAATCATTAAAAAACATTTGTAGAAATAACTTAACAATTTTTTTTTTTTTTAAATTTTTATCTTATAACATTAATGAAATTATATAAAAAATATATTAATTCTAGTGAAATGTGTATTTAATTATTACATAAAATCAAAATAAAATATTACTATATTTATATTTCTTAATGTATGAAAATAGTATCTTAATTAGACATTTTTATTATCGTAAGACAAAAAAAAAAAAAAAAAAAAAAAAAAAAAATAGAAAGAATTAAATACAATAATAATTAAAATACTAAATTCACTAATCATATATACATGAAACTTTGCAAAGTATTTTTTATAAAATTTATACCTTGTGATAAACTTTTATTGTTACCTCTAAAATAGATTATAAATAATAGAATCTATAAAATAGTTAATTTTTTTTTTTTTTTGATAATTTAATAATAGTCTTATGAATTTTTGTATTTAAAAAGAAAAATGATATTCATAAATTTATTAATATATAATTTAATTTATAGTAAAAATATGTAAACATAATAAAAAAAAAAATATTTGAATATGTAGAATTTTTTTTTTTTTTATAGAACAAAATGCATTATTTTAAAAAGAAAAAAAATGATTCCACTAATAAAAGGAATGCTTTTATAAAGAATAGCAAGAATACTAAAAAAAGTGTTTCGATAATAAATGAAGATATTTTTAGTGAAGAAAATGAATTAGAAAAAGAATATCAGAATAAATATTTAAAAAAAGATAAGTTCAATTCAAAAGATATATTAAATGAAAGCACAAATTCCTTTTTATCTGGTGATAATCAAAAAGAAAAAAAAATAATCTCAAATGGAAGAAACATAAACTTAAAAAATGAATCAAATAGTAATGCTTTAGATATTGAAGTAAGCAACTATCTTAATAATTCTAGAAATAATTATAGTATAGAAAGTTACAAGGAAAATATGATAAATAATAATTCTAAGATTATGAAATTTTCTAATACTTCAATAAAAAAAGATGTAGAAATATTACATGGAGAAAGTAACAATCATAGTCTTAACAGAAACAATAAGGAATCATATTATAATAATAGCAATTGTAAACAAAGTGAAAAAAATAATTTAAAAAATTATTTTATAGATAAAAATAATTCAAAAGATAGAATTTCTTCAGGAAATGAAAACAGCAATATATATGAGTGCAAAAACTCAGAAAAAAAAAATACTTTTAATTCATATAGTAATAATAAAATAAATAATAATCAAAATTCTTTAATTTCTAATAATCTTAAAGTTGAAGATGGATTAAAAAGTGATATGTCAAACTCAAAGGAAAAAATAAATGAAAATATGTCTGAAAAGAAAAATTTTAATGTTGTAAATAGCTATGATGACAATAGATATGATGATAAAAAAAAAAATTATTATAATAGAAATTTCGATACAAAAAGATCTTATGAGAATGAAGAAAATATTTTTGATAAAAATAATTCATTAAATATAGATTCTGAATCCAAAAAACACATTAAATACACTACTTCTCATAATAAAAACAAAGAAAATGATAGCAATTTAAATTTGATGTATGTCAAAGAATCACTGCAATCAAATTATAAAATACAAAAAAGTATGAACAATAATATAGAGGATGATGGCAAAAAATATTTAAAAGAGATTATAAATAAAAATGAAGAAAGTTATAAAGAATATGGTTATAAAAATATTAACCCTTTAGAAATAAATAAAAACTTAAGCAATAATAATTATATAGAAAAAAATACAATAAATGAATTGAAAAAAAATAATAATAAAACTACAATGGATAAAATAGAAGAAAGGATGAATTCTTTAAACTTTTCTATTTATTCTGATACTAATGGAGAGAATTTGAATAGTTTACATATATGTAATAATGAAAATATACTAAATACTAACAATGATAATTGTGAAGATAAGCCAGATACAAATAATAATGTCAATGAAAATTCCATAATAAAAACTTTTTCATCTTTAAAAAACTTAGAAATTAAAGGTAACTTAAAAAAAAGTAATAATAAAATAAAATATAAACAAGAAAATGAAAATTTAAGAGAAAATAATTTCACTTTAAATAATGAAAATTTGTATATACAATTAATGGAATCAAGAAATAACAATATAAATTCCAACAGTAGCTATTTAGAGACAAAAAATGAGTTAAAAGAATCAATAAATCAAATAAAATCAGATGAGAAAATAATAAAATTAAAAAATAGTCAAATAAAAGAGAAAAATAGCCAAATAGAATTAAGAGAACAAATATGTTCAGTAAAAGACAACGTATTACCAAGAATTAGTTCAGTAGAATCACGTAATTCCTTGATGAAAGTAGACGATAATTTAATAGAGTCACATAATACCTTATTAAACTCAAAAACCAAACAGATAAATACAAAAAATGATCTAAAATACTCAAAAAGTCATATGAATTCAAAAAATAGTCATATAGAAACAGAAAATAACTTACGTGAGTCAAACATTAAGCAAACTCAATCAGATAAAAATTTAGTAGAATCAAAAAGCAGTCAAATAGAACAAAAAGAAAATAAGATTGGATCAAATAAAAGATTAATAGAATCACTTAATAATTGCATATCAGAGAAAAATAGCCCAAAAGAATCAAGAAACAACTTAAATGAGTCAAACAGTAGACATTTTCAATCGGATATAGATTCATTAAAATCAAGAAATAATTTATTAGAATCAGAATATAATCAGAGTGAAGCAAATAACAATTTAATAGAATCAAGAAATAATTTAGATGAGTTTAATAGACAGATTCAATCAAAAATAAATTCAATAGAATCAAAAAATAGTCATATAAGATCAAGAAATAATTTATTAGAATCTGAAAATAGTGAGATACAATTCAATAACAACTTAATAGAATCAAGAAATATTTTATTAGAATCTGAAAATAATGGAATAGAATTAATTAACAATTTAATAGAGTCAGAAAACATTTTAGAGGAGTCAAATAATAGACAAATGCAATCGAAAATAAATTCAATAGGATCAAGAAATAATAATATACAAACAAAAAAAAATAGCCATATAGAATCAAAAAATAGTCATATTAGATCAAAAAATAATTTAGTGGAATCTCAAATTAGTGAAATAGAATTCAATAACAATTTAATAGAATCAGGAAATAATTTAGAAGAATCAATGAATAGAAAAATGCGGTCAGATGTAAATTTAGTAGATTCAGGAAACAATTATGTAAAACTGAAAAACAATCAGATAGAATCAAAGAGAAGTTTAATAAAATCAAAAAATAGTCATATTAGATCAAGAAATAATTTATTGGAATCTCAAATTAGTGAAATAGAATGCAATAACAATTTAATAGAATCCGGAAATAATTTAGAAGAGCAAAATAATAGACAAATGCAATCGAAAATAAATTCAATTGGATCAAGAAATAATAATATACAAACAAAAAAAAATAGCCATATAGAATCAAAAAATAGTCATATTAGATCAAGAAATAATTTATTGGAATCTCAAATTAGTGAAATAGAATTCAATAACAATTTAATAGAATCAGGAAATAACTTAGAAGAGTCAATGAATAAAAAAATTCGGTCAGATGTAAATTTAGTAGATTCAGGAAACACTTATGTAAAACTGAAAAACAATCAGATAGAATCAAAGAGGAGTTTAATAAAATCAAAAAATAGTCATATAATATCAAGAAATAATTTATCAGAATCTGAAAATGGCAATATAGAATCAAATATGAACATAATGGATTCAAGAAATAATTTAGAAGAATCATGCAATAACAGAATGCAATTAAAAAACATTTCATTAAAATCAAGAAATAGTAAGGTAGAAACAAATAGAAACTTAATAGAGTCAAGAAATAGACAAATGCAACCAAATATAAATTTAGTAAAATCAAGAAAAAATTCCATAATATCAAAAAATAGTGACATAATATCAAGAAATATTTTATCAAAATTAGAATATAGTCAAATAGAATCAAATGAAAACATAGAAGAGTTAAGAAATAATCCAATAAATGCATTCAACAATTCAATAAAACCAAAATATAATACTATAGAGCCAGAAAATAATATAGGAGAATCACAGAATAGCAGAATACAATCAAGTATTAATTCTACCAGATCAAATAGTCAAGAAAAGTTAAAAGTCAGTCATATCGAATCAAGCGATTTGATACAATCAAAAGATAGTTATATCACATCAAGAAATAGTCAATTTAATTCTACTCAAAGATTAGTAAAAACAAAAGATAATATTATGGAGTCTATGAGCCAAATAAAACTTAGAGATAATATTATAGGATCAAAAATAAGTTATATGCAATCAAAAAATAGTCAGGAAATATCAATGAATAATTTTGTAGAATCATCAAATAGTCATATGAAATCAGAAAAAAGTCTAATAAATCAAAAAAATAGTGCACTAGGATCAGGAAAAAATGAAAGAAAATTAATAGACAATTTAACAGAATCAGAATACAATATAATTGAATTAAATGATAATATAATCGAATCAAACAATGATTTAACAAATTTAAAAAATAACAATGATGAAATTAAGAACATTTTAGATGAATCATATAAAAGCATAATTAAATCAGAAGATAATTTAACAGAATCTCAATATGCTATAATGAATACAGAAATAGTACAAAGTAAACCTAAATATAAGGAGAGAGAATCAAGAAGAAATTTCAAAAATTCGACGAATAGACAATTGAGTCAAGAAAATAATTTATTGAGTTCAAATAGTAATTTAAGTATCCAAAAAAATAGTTACATAGAATTAAGGGATAATTATACAGAATTAAATAAGCAATTCAATTCAAAAAATTGTCAATTTAAAACTGATTTAATAGAATCAAGTAATAGTTTAATTAATTCAAAAAACAAAAAGATGAAATCAAATAATAATTTAGCATATTCAAAGAGTAATGATATAGAATCAAAAAATAATTTTAATGAATCAGCAAATAGTCTTAAAAATTCAGAAACTTATATGATAAAATCAAAATTAAATCTTACAGAATCAAATCATAGTATAATGGAATCAGAGTATGACCTAAAATGCTCTAAAAGTAAATTAATTGATTCGAGAAAGATTTGTGAAGATGACGAACAATTTGATAAGTATGAAAAGCACAAAGAGGAAATACCAAGATTTGATTATTATTATGAAAAAAACACAAATCAGCATTTGAATAAGAGTGAAAATATTACTAAAAAAAACATTCCAGTTGAATATAAAAAATTTAACACACATGTAAGTAATGAAGAAAAAAATGTCAATTTATTGCGAGAATTCCAAAAAAATATTAAGAAGAAATGTGTATTAAAGAATTCAGAGGAGCATGAGAATGACTATAATAAATCAAGACATAATTTGAAGAAAATCAATAAACATAATCAAAATGAAAGAAGCAAAAATTTCTCAGAATATAATGAATATGAAGAAAAAAGTGTTGAAATTTCCTTAATGGATAATTCAGTGAATCATCACTTTGACTTATCAAATGAAAAAGACGAACAAATTTTCGATAAATCTTATAATAATTTAGAATATAGTTATAAAGATTTTACAAAAAATGATAAAAATAATTATGAGTTAGAATTTTCGTTTAATCACAAAATTGATAACTACTTGAATATAAATAGTAAATTTACAAAATCAATAAATAATTTTCAAAATTGCATGAATAATTCTCAAATAAGCACGTCTAATAATTACGATTTAGATATGTCTAATAACTCATGCAAAAATATTAACATACATAAATTAACCTTAGAAAATGATTCAAGTACTGATTACTTTAAAAAATTATCAATGAAAAATAATTATGTCAATATTGATTTGCAAATATCATATATGGAAAATGATATTCAAAGTAAAATTAAAGATTTTGATAATTTTTTAGGAAAAAATTTTGAAAATAAATGTAATGTAGTTCTTAAAAGAATAGAAAAATTACTTTCACATGATTTTTTTAATGAAAAATAGGGAGTTAATTTCCTTGTAATTTTTTCAGTTATTAATATATATATATATATATTTATTTATTTATTAATTTATTTATTTATTTATTTATTTATTTATTTATTTATTTATTTATTTATTAATTTATTTATTTATTTATTTCATTTAAAATACTTTTTAAAATTATTATATAGAATTCTCCAATAATTTAATATTTTTAGTTCTCTTTTTTTTATTACTTTATTTTTTTTTTTTTAAATAATATTATAAATTATTAAAAACCGTTAAAAAAACAATTTTTAAATATAAACATTTTATGAAATTAAAATTATAATTTTTAATGATTAATAAAAATTAATTTGGTTGTAATTCATAAGATATTTATAAAAGATAATGAATATATGTATAAATAAAAACATATATAATAAATGTTAACTAAAAAAAAAAAAAAAATGACTTAAAAATCAGTTACTCTACAATTATGCGACCAATCTCCAAACATTGTTGGTTCATGTTTTTCATATTTATAACCAAATTCTTCTGATAAACTTTTTATCAAATCATTTTTTTTTTCTTTTTCTTTTTTCTCCTTTTTGTCTTCATTTAACGTTTCTTTTTTTTCTACAATGTTTTTGTCTAGGTTTTCTTTTTTTGAGTAAGATTCATTTTTTAACATATTTTCTTTAATATTCATTTTTTTTGAATAATTGTATTCTTTAACATTTATATCTTCTTTTTTATTCACATTAATTTTATTTTTTTCAAAAGTAGATAAATTTTTATAATTAAATTTCCTTAATTTTAAAAAATCACGTTTTGTATAAAATTTAACATATTCCCCTGTAATTATTCTGTTGATCCCATAGTTAAGATAAGAATTATTATTTAAAAAAAAATTATTTTTTTTTTTAAAAATTTCACAATATAATTTTTTCATAATGCAACAATAAAAAATGAAATTAAAGACATGTTTTTTTTTCTTTTTAAGCTAAAGCTTTTATGTCTTTTATAAAAAAAAAATATTTGAAATAACTATAATTCAAAAATCTTATATATATAAATAAATTTTTTTTTTTTTTTTTTTCAATTTTGAAAAAATTAGTGTGTAATAAAAAATATTTATTTAACATTCAATTTGAATTTTAAAAATAAAATAGAATTTAATATTTCTATAAATAAATTTATATTTTAAAAAATAAATAGAATTAGATATTTTATACATCTATATTGGAAAAAAATAAAAAAAAAAGAATAAAAATATATAAAGGTATATTTGCTTTTTAAGTATATAAAAAATAGGAAAATTCAATGTTTCAAAAAAAATTTTTACAAAATATAGAAAAATGGAAAAAGATTTTAATTTAATTGAAAAAAATAATCTAAATGAAGAAATAGTAAATATAAATATAAAAACAAAAAAAAAAAAAATTAAATAAATAAATATACATATATATATAAATGAAAGTTAATTTACAAACCAATATAATTTTTGTAATAAATTTTATTAATTTAATATCAGAATAATTTAAAAAATGAAAATATCAAATATATGGAAACTCACCAAGAATTAAAAGACTTATTGAATGATTTTATTTCTTCAATTTTATTACATACTCCAGTAAAAATAAAATTATAAATAATTTTTAATTACATAAAATAAAAAGAAAATTTCAAATTTTATTCTATATTTCTAAAATTACTTATTATAATGTCTTATTAATTTTTATTAATAATTCTATACATTTTAAAAAGTTGTTTAAGCATATGCTAAAAAAAATGATATAATATTTTTAAAAAGTTTATTTCCAAATTTTTAAAAAAAAAAATATTAATATATATTATTTTTATTTTTATTCATTAAAATTTTTTTTCTTTTTATGTTGTTTCATTTTTTCTGTTTTTAACATTTATATTGAATTTTCAGTAATTATAATTATTATTGCATACAATATTTTTTTAGAAATATAAAAATATATACATATATATTTATATTTTTTTTAAGGATGACATTTTTAAATATGCCAATGAATATTTTTCCTACTTTAAAAAAAATTGATCTATTTTTTAAATATAAAAAGTAAGAACTTTTGATAAAATTTTACTTTTTTTTTTTTTTTGAAAATTGTAAAATTTTTTTTAATATTTTATTTTTTTTGATTTTATATATTTTTACAGATAAAATTAATTTTATATTTTTTATCAAATTTATTTTTACAAATATTAATAATGGCAAACTAAAAAAAAAAAAAAAAATAATAAATTTAAGTTTTAAAAACTTTAAGCTAAAACAACTGATTTTTTAGTGTAAAATATTTGTTTACAAAAAAAAAAAAAAAAAAAAAAAAAAAAAAAAAAAAAATTTTTTTAAATATAAAAAAAAGAATATTTGTAAAAACTATTTTTTTTTTTTTTTTTTTTTTTTTTAAGTTTCTTTGCACATTGATAACACCTATATTTAAATTATTTATTATTATATATAAGAAAAGATTTTCTTTTTTTGTATAATGAAAGTTTTATATTGTGTATTTGAATGAAATTCTTTTTAAAAATATTAATGTGCACATATATATAAAATACATATTTAAATTATTTTAATTCAAATTAATAATTTTTAATAATATATAGTTATTAAAATTTAAAAAATTCCATATAAATGTAAATTAAAAGAGGAAAAAAATTTTAATTCTTATATTATTAAACATATATATATATATATATATGTCTACTTAACATTTTTATTAATTTACATATATACACTATTGTTTTTCTTTTTTTAAAGTATAACTATGGATCAACATAAAATAAAGGAAGATTTATCAAAAGAAGATCAAACTAAAATTTACAAAATATTGTTATTAACTTATTCAAGAAAATTATCAAAATATCAGGATCAAATAAAAAACATTTATTTTAATAATATTATATCAAATATAAAAGATGATGTAAATGATCATACATTTAATGAGCATGTTGCATCACAGCATTATTTTATTGATACATTAATTAAATCAAATGAACATCAAGAATTTTTAAAAACTCTTCAGTTACTTGAAAAAAAAGTTACTACAAAGGAAAATGTAGTAAATGAAGAGAATGGTGATATTAATAATTCTGTTAGTAACACACAAACTAATAATGATATCATAAATAATGGACAAAATGAAAATAATCAAAGAAACGCAAGAACAGTATTTAATAATTATATAATGGAAATAATGGAAAGATCTCATATATTTTTATTAATTAAAATATTATTTGTTTTGTTTTTATTTGAAGCCAATTCGAAAGTTTACTTTATTGTATCAGGAATGTTTATATTATACAATAGAGGATTTTTTGATTTTATAATTAATAATTTTAATTTTATGTCTAGTAATGAAACAATTGAACAAATTTTAAGAAGAATGAGTGAATCGAGAAATTTAAATAATAGTGAAGTTAATTATAATAATGAAGAAAATAATAACTTAAATGAAATTATAGAAGAAAATAATGATCAAGAGGATAATCATGAAAATCATATTAACAATATAAATTCTCCTCTAAGTGATATAGAGAAAGATAATGAAAAAAGAAAAGATGAAAAATTAAATACAGAAAATGAATTATTATCTTTATTAAATATGGGGAATAATAATGGACGAATTAGTAACAGGGAAGATGATGACAATAAATGGAATAATGATCATGATATTGTATTTAATGAGAGTTATGAAGAATTCAATAAAAATAACATTACTGATACTAAAAATATAGAAAAAAAATCAAAAAGAAAGGATATTAATTTATATGAAAATAATAATAATAGCAACGAATTCAATGATAATATTTATTTTAATTATAATAATAATTTAGAAAATGAAAACAAAAATAATTTTTATACATTTAAAAAAATTTCAGAAGCATATGATAATATAGAATCAGAAATTACAGATAACTCGTATAAAACACATACCCCATCTTATAAAACATTAAATTTAAATAAAAATAAAGATGGAGAATCCAAAGAAAGTAAAGTAGATTCACATATATGTTACACAAATATAAAAGAAAAAGAAGAAAAGGAGGACATTCATAATTTCGTTTCAGAAGATATTCCATATGACTCTTTTAATAAAATACAAGATTGTAATAATGATGAAAGAAGAATATTAGAATCAGGTATTAGAAGAAGAAAAAAAAAAAATAAGGTAAATTTAAATGATAGTGCAAATAGTTTTAATAATTTATTAAATAATAGTATGGGTGAATTTATAACATCAGATTATGAGGATTCTGCAGACAATTCGGATACAAGTGAATCTAACGTAAGTAATGCTTCTTCTGATAAAAAAAAACAGCTAATTCAAAATAAAAAAAATGAACAAAATAGTAATAGGCAAATATCTAGAAGAAAACCAACAAAATTAGAAAAATATATTTATCAATCAGTAGTCATGTTTTTCATGACATTATTGCCATGGTGGGTACCAGATGTTGCTTACTTGGAGGAATAAAAATTGAAAATAAAATTTATAAAATAAGTTAATATAAATAAATAAAAAATTATATATAATAAATACATAAAATTAATATATATATATATATAAATAAGAAAAAAATAGAGTTTGACAATTTAAAGCAACTAATAGGAATCCGAACAAAGTTATAAATATTTTTGTTAGTAAAAATTACATTATAATACATTAAATTAATGTATTTTTTTCTTATTTTTAAAATTAAAAGAAAAATTTTGTAAATAATTTTACTTGTAATATATGAATTTTTTTTTTAACTTTAAAAAGGATAAAGTTAAAATATATTTTTTTTTATTTTTTGTGTTTTTTTTTTTTTTTTTTTTTAAATTATTTAAATTCAAATATTATGTTTTTATGTAACATCCATTATCTAGAAATATGGTGAAAATTGTTATTTACCAATGCTTTATATAAATAACATATTTTGCTAAATTTAAGAAAGGAAACTAAAATTCGTTTTAATAAATTATATTTCTACAAATGCAAATGAAAATTGTATATATTAATATATATACATAAAGAATAAAAAAGAAGTATAATGGATTTCTAAAATATATGAGAAGAACAACATAATTCTATTTTAAATAAAGTATTTAATATACATTATTTTAATTAAAATAAAGTCTATATATATATAAGGCAATAGACTTTTCATCATTAAGTACATTATTTTATTTATTTTTTTTTTGTATTTTTGTTATCATGTATATTTAAGAGTATTTTACAAACATACAATATTAAAAAAGAAGGATAACATCAAAACATTTTATATGACTCTAAAAATATTTTTTGATGTTCTTTTTATATTAATACATCTTATTTTAAAATTAGTTCTGAAAAAAAATAAATAAGGCATTTTTTATTCAAAGGAAAATCTAATTATATTAATATATATACTATTCTTAGTATTTTTCATTATTTTTATTTTTTAGTAAAATGTATTTAGTATAGTTCATTCTATTTATACTTAGTAATTATTACATTTTTTAAAATATTTGTCAAAATTTTTTTATTCTTTTTAGTTTCATCTTTATTCTATTGATTTTTTTTCTAGTAATATTCTATAAATAAAAATTTAATTTTTTTTTTTTATTCCTTTTTTAAGTAATAATTATTTTGAAAAAATAAATTATAGATATATTTATTATCAATTTAGGAACTTTTTTAAAACATTATTTTTAATATAACAAATATAGCTTAATACATAATAAGATAAATAACAGCTTAATATTATATGTTAATTAAAAAATTAAAAGTAAATAAATATATAAATATATATTTATAAACTATTTTTATTAATTTAAATTTTTACATAGGTATAGTTTATTAAATATAGTTAAAGAAACATAATAAATTATGAAATGACGTTGAAAATATTATATGATTTAGAAATTGTTATAAAAAAGAATACATAAAAATTTTAATATGAAATGTTAATACATTTAAATAAAATAAAAAAGAAAGAGAAAAAGAAAAAGAAAAAGGCATTTTGTTCTATCTAAAATTGAGAAATTGAGAAAAGAAAAATTAAAATTAACAGGTGGAATACATATTTTTAGTTAATATAATACTTATGTATTAAATTTTAATGGAAATAGTAAATTTCAGATGATTCTTAAAATTTTTACTTACAATTATATGCACCTACAAATATTGTTTTTTAAATAATCTACCAATACATTACTTTCAAAAAAAAAAAAAAAAAAAAAAAAAAAAAAAAAAAAAAATATGTTATATATATAATTTATAATTTAAAAAAAATTGTTTTCTTTGAAAATTCACATAAATATTAAAATTTTTAAGTCCTTACTTTTTTAAGGTTATGTATGTATAACTTAAAAGCATCATAAGAAATATAATTTTAAAACATTCTTTTTTTTTTGAAAGAAAAGAAATTAAGATATTTTTTTATTTATTTTATTTTTAAAGAATTAGAACATTTTTAATATTAAAATATATATATTTTTTTTTTCTATCATTTTTTTAAAGAAAGCTTATACAATTTTTTTTTTTTTTTTTATAAACATATATAGAAATAAAAATGGTAATTTTTATACATAAAAACATTGTATATATTTATATGTATATATATATATATATAATAAACAATATATTACTTAATTTTAAAAATAAAAATATATATAAATAACAAAATAAATAAATATATATATATATAATTATATTTAATGTGTTGTTTTTTATATTTTCATATATTTATATATAAATTTTTTTTAGAGTTCTACAATAGCAAAAAAATTTATACCATTAATGGATAGAATTTTGATAAGTAAAATTGTTCCAAAAACTACAACAAAGTCTGGACTTTTTTTACCTGAAAGTGCAACTGAGCCATCTTATACAGGAAAAGTAAAATTAACAAATGAAAGAAATAATTGATATTAATTTAATTTTAAATATATATTTTTGTTATATTTTACTATTTGAATTTTTCCTTATAGGTATTAGCTGTTGGTCCAGGTAGAATAACAAGTAATGGAAATAAAATACCTCCAAGTGTAAAAGAAGGAGATGTTGTTGTTTTACCAGAATATGGTGGATCTTCATTAAAAATTGATGGAGAAGAATTTTTTGTTTATAGAGATGATGATATTATTGGTATTTTAAGAGATTAATAAAAAAAAAAAAAAAAAAAAAAAAAGACGAAAAAAATATTAAAATTACATTTTTAAATATATTTTTTAAAAGAACTTTTTTAAACTCATTTTTTTAAAACATTTTGAAATACCTTTTTATTTAATATTTTTAATATTGATTATATTCGTGGATTATTGAATTTTTTTTTTTTTTATTTAAAGTTTTTAAAGGATTGTAAAATATAAGCTATTAGAAATAAAAATAAGAAAAACTAGTGTAGTATTTATAAACACTACTCCTTTTCTTTATAAATATTTTTTTTATATAAAAAATAATAAGATACAATAAAAATAGATAAAAGTAAATGAAAAACATACAACTTAAAAAAAAATTTAAATAATAATTTTTGTATTAACAAATCATTTTTTTTTCCATAAAAAATTATTGTTGAAAAATATATATTAAATGAGCAAAAAGCTATTTACACATCAAAAAAAAAAAAAAAAAAAAAAAAAATCACACATTGAATATAAAAATATTTTAAAAAGTATAAGTGTTTAAATTAAAAACTTATTATATATTAAGAAACAAATAAACAAATATAAAAAAAAAAAAAAAAAAAAATTTTTTTTTTGTACTTTTAAAATTTAATTTTCTTTCGTGGAATTTTTTGTGTTTATCATCAAAGATTGTCTCTCTTGTAGAGATAAATTTTCAAATTCTTTTTTAGAAATATATTTTGCATTGTTTTTATCTAAAATATTAGTTATAGTAAAGAAAGGGGGGCCATTTTCTTCTAAACTTTTATATATACCACAATTAATGATTTTAATGTTATACATGGGATTTCCTAATTTGGTTCCCAATTTTTCAATCATTCTAATTATATTCATTCCCTTTAAAACTGTACCAATTACAACATTATGCTTATGTAATATTGGCATTGGAGAAAAAGTTATTATAAATTGAGAGGAGTTATTATGTGGCCCATCATTATATAAAGCAACATCTCCGTCTTGTACAAATTCCATATCAAAATTTTCATCTGGAAATTTTTTTCCATATATGCTTAAACCTTCTTTATCATTTAAAACATTTCCACCTACTAAACATATACCTGGATATACTTTATGAATAAATGTATTCCTATAACCAATATATTTATCTTTAATTTTATATCCTTCAGCTAATTGAATAAAATTTTCAGCTGATAGTGGTACTTGATCAGAATATAAACCAATCAAAATTCTACCTATATATTTATTTTCTACTGCTATATCAAAAAATACATAATCTTTTATTGCTTTATTATAGTATATTTGTTTTTCTTTTGCTTTTCTTCTTTCATTATAATTCCATAAAGGTGGAAAAAGTGCTGAAAATCCTATGGCTAATTTCCATGATATATGTAAATTATTCCACCAATGAAAACATTTCTTTCCAATTATCTTACTTGCCCGAAAACTTTTATTAATCATTAGAAAAATAAATTTAAATTACACATGAAAAAGAGTCAATAGATTTTTTTTTTTTATTTTATTTTATTTTCTATATTATTATTTTTCTATTAATATAATAAATGATCATAAAAAAAAAAACAAATTAAGTAATATATTATCACATATTCAATTTAAATATGCTCTTATTATAATTCCATTATTTCAAGTAGTAACTTCAATTTTAATATACTTCATATATAGTTGATTTTATTTTTTTTTTTTTTTTAAAGAAATAATAAAAATATTATTTAAATAAACTTTCAAATTTATAAAATTTTTTATTCATTTTATAATCAAATAAGTTAAAAATTTTGTATCTATCTCTTAAATTTTGACATAAAAGTTTCCTTTTCCTTTTTAAAAAAAAAAATATCGGCTACGAAATAGTATACTAATTAACATAAATATTCCATATGTAAAATGTTATACATCTGTATTTTTTTTTTTTTTTTTTTTTATGAACAAATATAAATGTATAATTTTTTTATTTATGGAATAACAAATAAAATTATAAAAAAATATATATGAAAAAAATATTAATAAAATTAAAAAAAAATTTGAAGTACTTTTTTTTAATTTTTTTTAATTAATTCTAACAAAACTATAAGTATATAAATGCTAAATTAACATATTACACATAGTATAATAAAAATGAATAATCATACGAAAAAAAAAAAAAAAAAAAATCATTAATGAAATATTTACAAAAATGAAATATTTAAAGTAAAAAATATGTTATTACTATTTAAACAAATATATAATAATATATTAAATTAAAAAATTAAGTCATAAAAAGTATATTAATAAATGAAACATAACTAATAATGAGAAATTATTAAAATAAAATAAAATTATATTTATGGTACTTAAATTTTTCTTAAACAAAAAAATATTATTTCTTATCTTTATTTTTTATTTAAATTTCCTTATACATCTTTTACCATGTACTTTTAATCTGTAAATACATGTATACGGAGCACCATAATTTTCAGTAAATTCAAAAATTATTCTAAAAGAAAAAAAAAAAAAAAAAAAAAGCAAATATATGAAGGCTAATTGGTGAATTTATATAATATATAAAAGTTAAAATTATAATAATGAAAAACTAATTTTTTTCCATTTTATCTTTTTTTCTATATTTATTTTTATTCACCTTTTCATGGGGAAGCAATGTTTAGTAGGATAATTGGATATTCTTTTTTTTCTATCAAAATAAAAATCCCCTATATGTATAATATTTGGTTTTTTATTATTTTTTATCCATTTGTCTAAAATTTCTTTAGAATGTATATTCCCATAAGTAGAATGTAAACAAGAGAATAAAGAACTATTTTTAAAATCATTATAATTAATATTATGAGATTCAAAATGTTCAGGCCAATTTAAATCAACAACACCGTAAACAGAAAAATATTTTGGTGTTGCATTAGAATTATTACTTATATTTTCATGAACGTGTTGAATAGAAATTGATGTTACATCAATTGTAGCTGGTAAGTGAATAGTTATTTTTCCTTTATCTCCATTAAAAGAAAAACAGTCTCCTGGAAAATTTGATGGTCTTAATATAATAGATGGATCCTTACCCATTGGTTTAATCATTCCATATATTTCTTCTGATGGCAGAAAAGATGCAATTTGATTTAAAAATTTTTCTATCAAATCATTTTTATTTAAAGGAGAACTTGTCATTTTATAGACAATTCTTGCACCTAATGATTCTAATGCCCAATCGATTTCATTATAATCTAATATGAATTCATTATATAATTCATTTACTTTTTTTTGTAAATCTTCTAGTGAACTATTATCTACCTGATTAATATTTGGAATATATTCATCGAATTTTTTTAGTTGCTTTTTTTCTATAATACTTACTAAAGATTTACTTAAATCCTCTTTCATAATTTTGCTTTGCACCTTTATTTGATTATTAATAGTTTTTAATAATTCAGATTGCATTTTTTCTTGTTTTATTACCATTGATTTATATTTCTCTTCATTATATATTACTTTTGATTCAGTAATTTCATTTAAGATATCCTTCTTATATATTTCTAAATAGTATTTAATTTTATTCTCAATATATTTCAATATTTTTTGTTCAAAAGAAGGGAATATATCATCTAAAAAAATATTAGATTTCTTTGTACTTTCTTTTAATACATCTAATTCTTTTTGTATGTCTTTTACATTTATTTCCTTGGATTTCCAAAATGTATATTTTTTTTTTTCTTGTTTTGTTTGATTTTCATTTTCTTTCTTTATACCCTTGTCAACATTTTCATATTCTTCTTCATCTTTATCATTTTTCATAGATTCTGATAAATTATTAACTTCATTTTTAAGTAATTTGTTATTAGATATTCTAGTTTCTATCCAGTCTATTTTTTTTTGCAAATCATTTATTGTTTCTAGCAATTCTCTTTTTTCATACTCTACTTTATTAGCAACATCGTTTTTTATATCTATTTTATTTTTGCTTAATTTCTTTTCCATATCATTTATAAAATCATCTTTATTATTATTTTTTTTAATAGTATCAATAGCCTTTATATAATCTTTAAATTTATTATGAAGCAATTGATGATTTTCTTGTAACTTTTTTTTAAAGTTTTCTATTTCTTTTTTTGAATTTGCCTTAAAATAATCAATTTCATTTGTATTAATTATTAATTTTTTTTCTATTTCTTTTAGTTTATTTTCTAAGTTTATATTTAGTTCATATAAGGAAACATTTTCTTTTTTATTCATATAATTCGAATTTATATTTTCATTCATATTATTCTTAAGTTGTTGTAATAATTCGTAAAATTTTAAATTGTTGTTATTTTCATTTTCTATTTTTATGTAATTCATTAATTTATTCATATCATCATAATTGTTTTTTGTAGTATTTAACTTCCAATCTGTTTGTTCTGATGATGTGCTGTTAAATACAGTAATAAAACCAGATAAGCATGTTATTATAATAGATAAAACAATCATAAAACTAGCTAAATATGTCATACCTTTTTTATCATTTAAAGTATCATTTATTAATAAGTTTACATAATTTAGAATTATATCTATTAGTGATTTTTTTGCTGAACTTTCTAATTTTAAGTTATAATCAGGATCTTCATTTTTTTCAACTTCATTCCACATAGCCGCTCTACTAGTTAAAAATTTTAAATTATCTACTTTTTTATTTTTATTATTTTCTTGAATTCCTATTTCGCTACTAGAAAATAATTTTACTATAGTTTTTTTTACTTTACTTAGCTGAGTTTCTTTTTTTTTATATGGGTTAGTTTTTCCATAGTTCATATTTTTTTTTTGAAAATCTTCATAACTATATAAAACTTGTATTAACGTATTCTTTTCATCGTTTTCTTTACTGCTATTATTTTTATCACATTTATCTTCAAATGCATTATCTATATCACTTTTGTTTTCATTCATGAAGTTCTTATCTTTTTTGCTATAAATTTTTATAGACATATTAGCTTTATTTTACCTTTTCTTCAATAATCTTATAAAAATAATTTTTCTCATATATATATATTATATAAAAAAAAAAATTTAATTTTATCTTTTTTTAATATATATGAATATTGTTAAAAGTAAAATCAAATATTTATTTGATAAAACTCTTAAATTTTTAATGGTATAAAAAAATATTTCCATTTGAAAAAAAGAAAATTTGTAAAATTTATTTACTAATTACATTTATTATTAATAATATTTTTTTAACTATAATTTATAAATTTCATAAATTAAAAATTCATACTTGTTATTTACATAGATATTCTTAATATTATTTTTTTTTTTTTTTTTTTTTTTTTTTTTTTGTTTTATATTTCTACTACTATTTTAATATATTTATATATATATATAGTTTAATTTTGAGATGTAATTTTTTATGAATATATTTATTTTTTGTATTCCTTTTTTCTTTATTATATTTCAATATGGAATACAATTTTATTAGGAATAATTATATGCGCATAATTCCACGGTATTTTTTTGTAGGTAAATATTCTGTAAAAATTTTTTTTTTTCACACACAAAAAAAAAAAAAAAAAAAAAATATAATAATACATTTTTTTTTGACTTTAAAAAATAATATATATATATATATATATTATTATTATTATATAAACAATATTATTTTAAATATTTTATTTTTAAGTAATATATAAAACATTTAAACTGTTGTTTTTTTTTTATTTTGAATATTTTTTTTTAAAAAAAAGTTTTTTCATATTTATAAAATTAAAAAAATTACACTCGTTGCTATAATCATAAATGAATATTACTTACTACATTATAAATTAATCTTCTCTTCAAAATATAAAAAAAAATAAAAAATAGTAAATTTTAAGAATAATATAAATCAATGAGTTATAAAAAATTAGTATAAAAATAAAACAATATATATATATGTAAATACTTTTATAAAAAATTTTAATATGATTAGATAACTATAAAAAAAGAATCTTTTTTTTGATATAATTATTAAATCTTATTTTACTTCTAAATATTACTCTTTAAAGTTTTTTTTTTTTTCAATTTTTTTATGTAAGCTTATTGTTAATTGAATTATTTCAAAATTTTGTAAATATTTATAAGAATACTTCAATAAATATATATGTATATCTTTTTAATAATAATAATATGAGTATATATGTTTTTGTTTTATTAATTTTTTATATCATTATTTAAGTAATCTAACAGGGATTCTTGGTTTGGTTTAAATGATTTATCTCCTTTTTTCCAATTAATGGGGCACACATCTCCACTTTTATCAACATGAATTATTGAATCTATTATTCTTAAAACCTCATTTACATTTCTACCAATTGATAAATCATTAATTGTTTTATGCCTAATATTCCCCAATAAATCAATTATAAATAAACCTCTTAAAGCAAATGAGTTATTAAATAAAACATCATAATTTTTGCAAATTTCTTTATTTATATCTGAAACTAAAGTAAAATTAATGTTACCTATTCCTCCTTTCTCGATAGGCATATTTTTCCATGCTAAATGACTATACACAGAATCAACTGATATTCCTAGTAATTCAACATTTTTATTTTCAAACGATTTTATATGTTTATTAAATTCTATTATTTCAGTTGGGCAAACAAAAGTAAAATTTAATGGATAAAATAATAAACAACAATATTTTTGACCCAAAAAAGAGGATAATTGTACATCTATAATTTCATTATTCTTATTTAATCCTTGTGCGCTAAAATCATAAGCTTTTTTTGTTACTAAAGAAAACTTTCTTATTGATGTTTTAAATGGATTATATAATTTTTTTAAAGGATACATTGTTCTTATAATTATAAAAAAATAATTTAACCAAATAAATTTTAATAAAAAATAATAATACAACTAGAATAAAAAATTCGTATATGTGTATATTTATATTAAAAGAAAAAGTTTTCCAGTTTTTATTTTTTTAATTTTAAATTTTCATTTATTTAAATAAAATTAGAAAAAATATTCCCATTTATTAATTTTAATAAGCAAAAAAAAAAAAAAAAAAAAAAAAAAAAAAAAAAGAAAAATATATATATATGTTTAAGACTATTTTTAGAAATTATTATAAGAGTTTTTTTCGAATTAAAAAAAAAAGATTAAATAAAATCAATCTTATTATATTTCTAAAAAAAAAAAAACAAAAATTTTCTTTGTATCTTTTAAAAGAATTATTTCTTTATATAATTTCTAATTATAAATTGAGTATTTTTAAAATACTTTTTGAAGGAAAAGAAAAAAAAAAAAAATTTAATTATTGATAAACATGTAAAGAATATATATTTTTATCTTATAAATTTATTGAAGAAATTTAAAAAGATTAAAAAAGTTAAAAGAAATTTTTAATATTTCTTTTATAAACAAACTGTTTATTAAAACAATGTAATATAAATATATTTTTTTAAAATATATAATTTTTTTTTTTTTTTTTTTATTATTTAAACTGAATAAATAAGAATAAATATAAAAAAAAAAATATATATATACTGTACATATATATATATATAAATTAGATGAAACATGGAACAAAAACAATCAGACAAAAAAAAAAAAAAAAAAAAAAAAAAAAAAAAAAAAAAAAAAAAAAAAAAAAAAAATGAACATATATCTACAAATGAAGTTTTTTTTTTATTTTTCTATTTCTATATTAATAATAAAAATTATTAATTTTATTTGAGATTTTTAAACTTCATCATCAAATTCAGTAACATTTTCCATTTTATAGGCTTCGTTTTGTTGCCTAAAAACTTCATTTCCAAATCCGGCCTACAATGAAAAATAAAAGAAAAGATATTTATATAAACAAATTAATTAAATAGAAAAAGATAGAAAAAACAAATGTAAATAAGAATATTTGAATAATAAAAAAAAAAAAAAAAAATAAGAAAAAAAAAGAAAAAGAAATTTACTATTCCTCCTAAAACAGTTCCTATAGGAAAACAGCAGTTTTCTGCTTTCATCAATGCTAAGCGAATATGATGTGTTGATTCATCTTCCACGTCTAATAAACCAAAAATGAAACCAAATATTCCTCCCATTGTTATAGTAAATAATAATATTAAATATACCTAAAAAACAATTTTCACAAATATTTAAAAAGACCACAAATTTTTACATATTTTAATTTTACATATATATATATATATATATATTAGTACTTGTGCTTTTGATTCTATTAAGGGTCTTGTTATTGATCCTTGAATAAAACCAATTAAGTAATTTATTAAATCAATTAAACTAAAAGTTAAAGCAAAAGATATACTAATTCCTAAAATACAATATATTGGTACTTTTGATAAAGCTGATAAAGAAAAAAGCCAAGAACGATCAAAAAAAAAACATAAGATTCCTGATAATATTATCTAATAAAAAATTAAAAAATATAATATAAAAATATATATATATATATATATAATTAATTTTGTAAATATATATTAATATTTCTGTACTAATGCTGATAATATCATCAATTGATTTCTTCTACTTTCTGCTTCATCAACAACATTTGCATTTAATCTCCAGAAAATTATTATTCCAACCACAATAAATAAAATACCAAAATACTAAAAAAATTAAATATTAAAAATTAAAAATTAAAAATTAAAAATATATATATATATATATATATATATATATATATATAAGTATGTATATGAAATAGATTACAATAAATAAATTACCATAGAAAAAAACTTAGATAAAGAAACTTCAACTAATGTACAATTAACAATCAGTGAACACATTATGCCAAGTATCATTCCAACTATGGCACTTAAACTCCCTTTAAATATTAAATCTTTTGTGCATTGTATCCTAAGTCCTGATAATTTATCAAATTCTTTAATTTCCATATCCATTTTTACTTAAAATTCTTCAATTAATAAGAAAAAAAAAAAAAAAAAAAAAAAAAAAAAGAAATGAGGAAGAGTAATTATAAAAATAAAAAAAAAATTAGTATAAAAAAAAAAAATAAATTCTGAAAATTATTTAATACTTTATTTAAAATATGTTTTTCATATTTATTTATTTCTCTTCCTTTTACTTTTTTTTTTTTTTTTTTTTATATACAAAAAAAAAAAAAAAAAAAAAAAAAAAAAAGGTGACGACTTTCTTATACATTCTTTAAATTTTATATCCGTCAGAATTTTTTTTTTATTTGTTTTTTAAAAATAGTTCTTTAAATGCAACTTACAAAAGTAAGGTAACATATGATTTATATATATATATATCTTCATTTATGAATATATCTTGTTATTAATAAATATGTGTTTATATACAAATTTTCAACATTTCATTATTTTCATAATTTTGTTTTTGTTTATTTAAAAAAAAATAATGAGGATTAACCTTTTTTTTTTTTTTTCTTTTTCATTTATATAAAGATATATTTTAATTTTATATCTAAAATATTACATATTTGGTTATTTAGAAAAAAAACTAATGTTAAATATTCGTAAGAATGATAAAAAGAAAAAAATTTAAGTTTTTATAAAATTTTTTTTTGTATTATTAATTTATATATTGTACGATTTTTTTTTAAAATTTGCAATTTTTTTTAACATACTTGTAAAATGTTAAATAAAAATTGGAAATTATTCTTTTTTACACATTTAACGTTGAAAAAAAAAAAAAAAAAAAAAATTATATTAAATACAAAAGCAATGTATTTAAATATATATTGTATCTTTCAATATTATTTTAATTTATAACTCTTTTTATCTCTTTTTCTGTTTTTTTTGTTAAAGTTGGTATATTCTTAAGTCTTTATATAATAAATAAATTATCTTTAATTTTTAATTTCATGTTATAATAGTTGTTTCATCTTATAATTTAAATATCTCTATAATTTTTCAATCGTTAATAATTTTTCTGGCTCCTATAAAAAACATTAAGAAAAAAATACAAATTATAAATAAAAATTAGAAATATATAAATAAAATAAAAATATATATGTGTAAAACATTCATTATTAAAACTAATCAGAATTATGTGATAACAATAACTTCTCTAAGAAGATTTTATATAATTTTTTACATTTTCTATTTTTATTTATTTCTTTATATAATTTTCATTTTCATTTTTCTTTTTTTTTTTTTTTTTTTACCTTTACATAATCTTTTAAAAATTCTTTTAACTTATCTAATTGTTCTTTAGGGTAACTCATTGTATAAATTGCCATACTTCTTATTTTGTTCTGTTCATTAAGTGGCATTTTTGAAGTGATGTAAATAATCCCATCTTTCACATCAACAGTTAACTAAAACAAAATATAATAATAACATTGAAAAAAAAATAAAATCAATGAAGTTTTTCGTTAAATATAAACATATAAAATATTAAAATAGAAATAAACAATATTTATATATTTTTATATGATTTTTCAAATAAGCATAGGAAAAAACGCAAGTAATACAATATTTATAAAAAAAAAATATTAAGAGATAATAGAAGTTTTGTAATTAAATTAACATAGTTTATGTAAACATTATCAGAATAAATGTATATAAAATATTAAAATTATTATTAAATTTTGTTAATATATGTATTTACTTTCTCATGGTCCTCTTCGACAACATCTTTTGTTCCTAATTCATGGAAATTTGTCTAAAAACAAGTTATAATTTGTATCATTAAAAAAGAAAAAGAACAAAATATTAATAAATATATATTTAAAAAAAAAAAAAAAAAAGAAGAAAAATTAAAATAATGTAAAAAAAAAAAAAAAATACATGTCTTATCTCCCTGAAACTTTGTGTACTTCCGTTTAAATTTTTAACGCTTTTAATTTTCTTATATGAAAAAACATAACTTAAAAAGGACATAAAAATAATAATATAAAAGAAAAAATTTGTCCTCATCTTTATATTAGTTAAAGAAAATTCTTAAAAAAATGTGTATCACAAGTTTTTTCTTTTCTTAACTTTGAAAAAAAGGGAAATTTAATAATAAAAAAAAATTTTTAAATATAAAATTTACAACACTAAAATAATTTATATTTGTACTTAAGCACATTATATGATTTTTCCTAAAGAAATCTTAAAACATATTAATTAATTTTATTGTTTTTTTTTTCATCTCATAAAATTATAACTTTTTTTTTTTTTTTTAATGTATTTATAATTAAAAATACTGTGTATATACATTAGCAAAGAACTGTAAGAAAAAAAAATTACAAAAATAAAAAGAATCATTATTTTTTTTTAAAATAATTATCTTTATTTTTGTCCATATAGTTAATATAAAAACTTTTAATAAATAATTTTTTTAAACATATAGTTACGTCATTAGTCATATAAAATAAAAATATGAAAAAAACATATATTTTATTAAGACATTCTAATAATTTTAGTTAATAAATATAAACATAAAACAATAAAAGAATATTTAAACATAATTTAAGAAGGATAGAATAAAGAAAATTGTAAAAAAAAAAAAAAAAAAAAAAAAAAAAAAAAAAAAAATTTTTAAATTATAAAAAAT